CTGTGGTTTAATTGTGTCCCCCACCAAAAGTTCGTGTGTTGAGAGCCTGATACTCCCCAGCCTCTAGAACTACGAGTCAAGCACACCTCTGTGCTCTGTAAATTACCATCTTGGATGTCCTGTCATAGCAACAGGAAGCAAAACTAAGACAGGACCCCAAGCCACCATCGACTTTGAGTTGCTTACCAGACACTGGGTGTCATTTGATAGGTCACTCTACAAAACCAGTGAGCCAAAACATCCTATGGTCAATGGGAAGAGATACACAAGGGGCCAGACTCCAGCAGGCCCTAGTCATATATGTGGAGTTCATGAGCAGGTGACTGGTATGGCCTCTCCCTTGGGTCCTTCTGAGGACTCATGGGAAATTCACTGAAGAAGAAAGAACAAGGAAGCTTGACTGGCATGTGGCCTTCTATTGTGACAGCGGGAAGCAGGTGAAGTTGCAGAGCGACAACTTCATTCTGGTCCAACCCTAGATGCGCACAGCATTCAGGCTCTGCCAGTGGAGAACCTTAGCACCCACAAACTGCAAAGCTGGGCTTGTGTTTTCCTCCAGACAGCGAACATCAACAGAACAGCTGGACAGATGTAATAAGATCTGCAGGGCTGATAATGCTGCTACAGTTGTTACTTCTTGAGGAAGACACTTGTACGAAGTTCGTATCACAGAATAGCAGTGGGGAAGACATAAACACAGATAAGTGTGCAACACGTGTAAAAGGACAAAGGGATAGATGATAGTCAGAGAGCGATGATGGGCAGATACAGGGGAATGATAGCTAGATGATAGGTGTGCAACTGGAGGTCTCCTTCCTGAAGGTCCTCTCTGAGGCTTAGTATTAATTGCAAACTGTTTGCCCGATGCTCAGGTTTCTCACTGACTAGCTCTACATATACATACATCAACCCATTTCTAATAATCTGAATATCGCCATGTGCCCCGTGGCTTACTGGTAATGCTCTGACATCTTACTCCTTCGTCAGCTGCTGGCATCTCCCTGACTTCACCTTCTTTCTCCCGTATCTCTATTTGGATTTCTTGTCTGTCTATATTCTGTGCCGCCATAGGCCAAAGCAGCTTCTTTATTAACCAATGGTAATAAAACATATTCACAGCATACGGGGTGGGGGGGCATTCCACATCAAGGTGGGAGTGGGCAGATAGTTGGAATGGATGGATAGACAAACAAGCTAGATGATAGCAGATATGTGGAGATGATATATGGGGGATAGATAGATAGATAGATAGATAGACAGACAGATGATACATTACATGGATTAATACATGACAGGGGGATAGATCAGAACTCATTTTTAAATACCAAAAAATAGAGACAGAAAGGAAGAAACAGAGAGCACAATAGGTTAAAGCAGTAGCAGGAACAGTAGCATTTACAGACATCCAGTAAACACAGGGCTTTTTACAATTCTTGTGACTTCTCTGTTAGCTTGATACCGTGGAAAGATGTTAGGAGAGAGAACGAGATCCTAATGCCATCCTTCTCCTCAGTACATATGCATGGAGACCTGTCCATCATCTGTCATTGACAGTCTATCTATCATTTATCAATCTCTCATGCAGATAATACCTTTTTATTTGTTTGTTTAGAGGCAGGGTCTCACTCTGTAGCCCAAGTTGCTCTAGAACTCACTATGCAGCAAAGTCTCCCTTCCCTCCTGCTTTTGTCCCTCTAGTGCTGAAGTGAATTACAGGCATTCGCTACCATGCTCCTTCTGATGCTCAGATCACCCTGAGCCCAGGACACCCTGAGCCCAGGTCCCTCTGGACTATGCCACCATCCCTTGCCTGTTTCCAACTTGCCTTGACACAGTGTGTTGCGGGGAAGACTCCTGTGCATCTGGTAGTACATCAGAGTCCCTAGCCCTTCTGAGAAACATTGCACAACAAAGGTGATGTGTGCTTCAGGCGCGAAGACATGACTCAGAGGCAGCGTGACAAGTGTTCTTGCCTTAGGTGTCAGCTTCTGGGATGAGCCATGTGGCGCATTGAAATGTAAGGGGGATGGGGACCCAACAAGTGTGGGGCTCAGTCCAGTACCTCTCTGGTTGCAGCTCCCTCACCGGGGGGCCTGTCTCACAGTCCATCTTATCTATGCTCTTCCCATGCTCCCACTCCACGTGGCCCTAGCTTGTCTTCCTACACTGGCCATCTGACCTCCACATGTTCTGTGTCCTCACTTCCTGCCGCACCCTAGTGCAAGTAGCATGAAGTGTGGCACGGAGTAGCAAACAGTCCCTCTGTGTAGTATCTACATGGGGTTCCCCACACCTTGCCCAGGGCAAAGACCACCCTTGTTGGCACAGACAATGATAATTTCCTGAAGCAGAGACAGGGGATCTACACAGTAGCCTTCATCTTCCCAGCTCTAAGACTTTGTCCCAGGACAGCACTGACCCGGCTCCTTAGCCTGGGAAGGGTTGCATGGGTCAGAGCAGGTGGTCCCTTCCTTGTCTGAATCCCCCGTGGTCCCATTTCCCCAGACTGACTATAAAGGAAGGACCCTACACATCAGAGGATCTGTACTGAGTGGGCTTTCCTAGGGGCCCGACGACAGAATGGAATGAGAGTTTTTGTGAGAGATAAGGAATGCAAAGGCCTGAGCTGCCCACGAAGCCCTCAGCTCTGGTCCCTCCTCAAAGCTGCCTTTGAGCTCCTACACTGTCTAACCACCCCCTGCTGCGCCCTGTCATCCTGATTCTCCAGGAGCCACCCCTATGGTCTCCTGCTTCAGAACTCAGCTCTGTCTCTGGCCACGCCACTGGCTCTGATCAATCAATCAGAAGGTCCCTGGAGGGTCACGTGTCATGGGCTGGTCTCAAAAGAACTAGTGTCTAGTATGGGCTAGTTTGGCTTTTTCTTTTTTCTCCAACTTGACACAAGCTAGAGTTACCTGGGAAGAGGGAACTCAGCTGAGAAACACTTCCACCAGACTGGCCTGTGGGCAAGCCTATCGGACATTTTCTTGATTAATAATGGATGTGGCAGGGCCCAACCCACTGTGGGCAGTGTCGCCCATGGGCAGGTGGTCCTGGTAAAGCGGGTAAATGAAGAGCAAACCCATAAGCAGCACTCCTCCATGACCTCTGCTTCAGGTCCTGCCTCCAGGTTCCCGCCTTGCTTGAGTTTCTAGGGGAACTGTAAATTGAAATTAACCCGTTCTTCTCCAAGTTGGTTCTGGTTGTAGTGTTTATCACAACAATAGAAAGCATAACCTTCTCTCCACCACACACACACACACACACACACACACACACACCACACATATACACCACACACATACACAAACACTACACACCACACATACACATACCACATACACCACACGCCCAGTTTTTCCTTAGACAGGGTCTCTCATGTGGGGCTTGGGCTAGCTTTGAACTCATTGTATAGCAGAGGGTGTGACCTGGAACTCTTGATCCCGCTGGTACTGAGATTATAGACATATGCCACCACATGTGGTCATATAGCACTGGGGTTGCGCCTAGCACAATGTAGCCTCTTCTGCTCTTGAGTTCAAGGTACTCCTCCTGCCTCATTTCCCAACAAGGACCTTAGAACTCTATCAACTGTGCTGTGTGGTCCCAGTTGCTAAGGGAAAAGGTTTTTTTTTCCATCAATAGTAACAGAAAAATCCTGTACAACAAAGAAAGTTGACATGGACTATCCCAGGAGCTGACAGTTTACCTCAGGGTGTCCCAGACTGAGCACAGTGACATTTGGGGACACTATTCTTTGTTGTCCCATGGGCTGTAGGGTGTCGGTAGTAAGCCAAGTCTCCACAACAGGCCAGTAGCTCATCCTTCCCAGCCGTGGCCACCAATCCACCTCCAGACATTACAACACATCGCCGAGGGACATGCTATTGAAGACGGCTAATTTCTGTCCCTGAGCCCTGGGAGGCTCAGGCAAATTAAGCCACCAGTAGTCACTGAAGAAACAAAGCTGGACTGGGGCCCAAGAGCCCATCCAAAGGCTGGATCCTCCCAGCCAGAGTCTGTCATTTTAAGCTAGCTAAAAATAATAACTATTATTATAATAAATAAACTATGTGTGTGTACACATGTATTTTTGTTGTGGATGGGGGTACACATGGCATGTATGTAGTGGTCCGAGGACAACCTTAGGGGTCTGGTCTCACCTTCTACCTCCTTTGAAGCAGGGTCCCTTTGCTGTTCCCTCCTGTGCTCACCAGAGTAGCTGGGCTAGCAGGTAGTTTCCGTCTCTACTTCTCATCTTATAGGAGGTCTGGGATTATGGACACCCAGTGATACACCCAGCACATAGAGATCCAAACTCAGGTCTTCCCAATTACATAGTAAGCACCTTACCCCTTGAGCCATCTTGAACCCCAGTCTATTCAAATAGCATCACTGACTTGCTGTCTAGGCCAGCTAGGCATTTGGGGGTAGTAAAACTGTTTCGAGACAAGGTCTCACTTGATAGCCCAGGCTACCCTGGAACTATGTAGCCCAGGCTGGCCTTGAACTCACGGCTTCCCAGTAAGCATCACTCTATACAGAAAAATGCACCCAAGGCATGGGATTCTTCAGGGAAAGGGGTACAGAATGCCAAGTTGAGGTCGCCATCACAGGCTGGCTTTGACTTCCACTTCTTCCACGCAGAGCAGGGAAGCACATCCCCCCAGCCCTTCTGCTCCTCAGAGCATCTTCCTTGAGCGTGTGCCTGGTAGCATCAAAAGGGAGAGTTCAAGTCAGCCTGGCCATGTGAAATGTTCTCCCTGCCCAGAGCTGGGCAAGATGTACAGACATGGAATGTGTGAGAAGCAGCCCCGCAAAGAGCCAGAGGCCAGCTGGTGCATCCGAGCTCACTGCCAGAGTAAGTCAGAGCACGCTGTGACACCCCGAGCTTTGTCTCCCGCCTGGCCTGAATGTCTGGCACAGGAAGCCATAAGTTTGAGCTGTCGCAAGCACGCTGTCCCTGCTGTCTGCCAGGAGGGTCTGATCAAAGCGCAGCCGGGGGTTTAGTGGTTTTTATTTAATATCCAGAAATCCAGAGGACACTTTGCTTCGAACAATTAAAAAGACAATAAAGCGTGGCAGCATAGGGGGGAGCGGATTCGACTGCTTGAAAATAAGATCCCGTTTCGTCAGGCTGGAGAGGACGCAGGGGCCCTGGGCCCAGGGCGTGCACAACTGAACAGAAGGGGAACAAGAGTTGCCTGTGCAAGTCCACCCAAGTCAGCAGGACTGGGGGAGACATGCAAATCTGTGTAGAACAGAGGGGAGCAATCCCAGACCTGGCCTGCAGACCTGGGGGAGGAGGAGGAACAGACCTGCCAGACCCTTCCTTGTGACTGTGTGGGGCATGATAGATGATGGCATTTCTACCAGTTTTGGTGGCCAGACCTCTCTTCAAATAAATATCAGGAGAGACTATAGATCCAAGCAGTGGAATGTTCCAGAACTTCCTTGAATTGACAACTCAAAGGGGGCCCCCAGTGAGAGTCATGGGAAAATTGAGGAAGGGGTCATTAATTACCAGAGGGTATGGATGGGGACAGTTCTCCCTAAATTAATGGGGCAAATCTGTGAGAGAAGCCTTGCCCTACACGGGAGGCCCTGAAGTTGGCCTAGGAACCTTGGTTCTCAGTCCTCTGTCCAGGTCGAGGGGATGAGTGACTGCTCCACGGAGCAAAGAGAGCAAAGCCATTAGGTAGCCCTTCACTGGTATTTCAGAACCACTTCTATGCTCAGCCAATGGGGAAGGTCGTGCCTTCATGGAACCCTGGCTTCGTCAGTTCTCCTGCAGGGGAAAGGAGCCCACTTGGATTCCAAGTGGGACATGTGTCCTCCAGATAGGGATGCTCAGGAAACCACCACCCTTCCCAGACCAGCCCCCCCCCCCCAGCACCATAGGTCTCTGCAAACCCTTCACATCAAGGCTCCCTGCCCCGGGGATGTGAGACACCCTTGCCAAGACCACCTGTGAGCTGGGCAAGGCAGACCCAGCAGCTCCCAGATGCTGCTGTGGTTCCGTGCAGGAGGAAGGCAACACAGAACATTCCGATCCTGGCTATTTTGTCAGTGTGGCTCTTTAATGTCACTGCATCCCACGGGGAGACACGGTAAGGCCGTTTTAATTATCTCTTTCCCCTGCTGGGAAGCCACCTCCATCAGAACAGACTACTCCAAGCCCATCCCCAGCTTAGCAACAGCTGAACCAAGGGATGATTTTAAACTGTTTGCTGGAACTCCATGGTCGGCGTTCTGTTGAGTATCAACACCTCACTCCATAGCCCTGGTCCGTGGCAAAGTGGGAATCAGAAGAGAGAGGTTCACCGTAGCTGCTGTGAACGCTTAAGGCTCAAGGAAGAGGGTGGCGGTTCCGAAGGCTGGAGGTAGGAAGAACTTGAGAGGGGGTGAACCACAGAAGTAGGGTTCCTGCGACAAGAAGCCAGCCAGCCATGGCATCCCCACTCCTCTCTAGAGTGGGGACGGCTTATGGGAACAGCAGCATTTTCTTTTACAGGACGTGCTGCAAGGGATACCAGTAGTGTTCTAGGAAGGATGTGGACATTTCATACGCCCAGCTCAGACAAGCCCCACAAACCTACTCCTGCCGTGTCCGAGGGAGGTTGCCCTGGAGACAGGGACCTTACAGCTATCATAGGGGCAGTGAGGCCATACAGGGGATGGGTTCCCTATCAGAACTAGGAGGAGGCTAATGCATGCAAAGGCAGAGAGGAGCGGTGAAAATGAAGCCTAGGAAACCAGCCCAGCCAGCACCTCCACCGCCTGCTTCTAGCCTCCGAAGCCGCCAGATGTACGCCTCTGTCATTCTGGCTGCCGGTAGCCTGTGGTGAGGCAGGCCTAGTCATAGATACCCACCCCCTTGTAAAATCTCTAAAAATGTGTCCATTCCCTAACAGGGCCTCAGAGACAGCAAGGTTCCGGCTCCAAGCTGGCTCAAGCTGCATATTCAGAGCCAGCAAGGCACCCAGACAGGCTCCGTGTAGCTTCCCTGGGGGCCCGAGGCATTCTGGGTCCTGAGAGTTTATGTAAAAGGTCAGTCAAGACCAGTAAACCACAAACGGATGTGTGTGTGTTGGGGTTGGGGGGGACACGTCACAAGTCTGATGCTTCTGAGACAGGAGTGAAAAACTGCGAGGATCTTTTTACTAAGACAGGACCCCGCTTCCAGGGAGAGCCCAGCCCAGGGGATTCCTGAGGACAAGTGGGGCGGAGTCCCCAGAGCAAGGGCTGCTGTGCTCCTGCCATCAGTAATTGCCCCGTGGGTTGGAGCACAGGTGGACAGCCCTCTCCAGCTGAGGACTAGGCTGGGGCTTCGTTCTTTTTTTCATCTCTTGATGGCAGCAGAGAAAAAAAGGAAGTGAGGCCTCAAACCTGAGAGGGTGTTTTAAGCACCAAGTTCTCAAAGGCCTAACCAGTTGGCTGGGGAACCACAGAGGAAAGGGGGCCAGGCAGGGAGCAGAGAGGAGGGACATTACACAGCCGGGATGAGAAGCCTGAGGCCTCCCTGGGGAAACAGGGGCTGGGGATAGACATGCCCATTTTCCCTGCCTAGAAATTGCCCTGGAAGGATCAGATGCTCCGTCATTCCACGTCCTTGTACTTGGTGAACAGAGTGTAAAGGACCCGCAGAGTGGATTTGAGGTCCAGGTTCACCACATCTGCAGAAGGAAACAGACAGACAGTTGGCTGAAGAGGACAGCTTTCCAGAAGCTGGAAGCTGGGTTGCCACACGTGCAGCAGAAAAAAACCATCTGCTGCCCACGGACACGCAGCTTCCTGATGCCCTGACCCCTCCTGCCCCTCTCTTTGTGCTCCGAGCTGCTCGGGTGGGGTGTTACCTTCAGGGCGGGCCTTGGGCTTCTTGAGTCCTCCGTCCAGCATCAGTTCAAAGGCAAAGGCCACGTTGTGCACCTGCCGGAGACAGGATCAGTGACAGTGAGGTCCATGTCCCCACACCTGACCATGTCCACACATTCCTTCCTTCCATGTGGAGAGAGCTGATTGCTGCCTTCGGTACAAAGTCCACCAGGACACATGACAGGACACAGGGACAGCACACACAGTGGGTTCAGTAAGGGTAACTCTATAGTTCCTGTTCCTCTTGTCTGGGTTTGGAGAAGGGAAGGATGCCAGCTTCCAGCCTGCCCTCCTCCCCTGGGGCTGAGAGCCAAGTGCCCCCTCTGAGCCAGAACCTATCACCTGATGAGAAATGACAGCTTGAGAAACTGAGGCTTGGGGAAGACAAGTCCCTTGCAAAGGTCTCATCTCTGGACAGTCCTCTGAACACACGGTGGCTGCTTGCTGTCAGATAACTAAAAAGCTGGGCACGCGTGGAGGTCTGACTGTGTCTCTGTGGGATAACACTGTTCCTGAGGCAATTGGAGACCCTGATGGAATTGAGGTTAGCCCAAGGGCCAGCGTGGAGATCCCTGGTTCCAGTCCTGACCACCTGCCCGCCCACCCTGCCCTTCCCTGCCCACCCACCCTGCCCTTCCCTGCCCACCCGCCCTGCCCTTCCCTGCCCACCCGCCCTGCCCGCCCAACTGAACACTATTGAGGCTTCCATTCTGCTAATGATGGCTCCTACTCAGAGCCTTTCTGTGATGTTTAAAGTCTATAGAGGTCAAGACCAGACAAACCATGTGCAGCTTCTACCTGCCCTGAGCAGAGGAGTTGGGAAGGTAGACCACCAAACCAGCAAGGGCACAGACACCAGCTGGACAGGCTTGACGGCTCACAGTGACCAACTGTCTCTCCAACAGTAGCACTGTCTGTCACTCCACTGTAGGTGAGCAAGGAATGCCAGCGATAATCTCCCTTACAATGTCAATCATGAATTAACAGAAGGCGGGAACCGCAGGGTGTGAGCTGCCAGTCTTGTGGCTCCCCATCCCCCTCTCCCACCCCAGAGCTGGAGAGTGAACTCAGTGTTTTGTTTCCTGTGCACTAGGCACGTGCTCCACTACTGAGCTATTCTTCAGCCTAATGTTGGTTGTTTTTGCTTTTCGAGACGGTCTGATTTAGCCCAGGCTGGCCTCAAACTAAGCTATAGGAAGATAACTTTGAACTTCTAACCTTCTACCCCCACCTCTCAAGTGCTGGGATTACAGATGTTTGTCACCGTGCCTGTTTATACAATGCCAGGGATTGAACCCAGGACCTGTTATGCTAGGCAGGTACTCTACGAACTGAGCTACATCCCCAGATAATGTCTTTGGTTAAAGATGTAGGCTGCTGCTTTGCTTGAGAGTGCACCTTCTGGTCCATCTCCTACTCTGCTTGCTGAATCTCTGCCGCCTTCAGCACTCTTGAGATGTCAGCAAGATGCCTGGGACCAGAGCAAAGGACCCTCAATTTCAGGCCACAGAGCTGATCAGAGACACTGCCTGCCCCAGTGCAGAGCATGGTCCTCACAGCCATGAGGACTAGGAAACAAATACACTGGTCAAGGCTCATAGAGGTGATGACCACCCCTAGGAAGAAGAGGTCAGACTCTGTGTGTGTGTGTGTGTGTGTGTGTGTGAGAGAGAGAGAGAGAGAGAGAGAGAGTGTGTGTGTAGATATATGTAAACATATGCAAATAATAAAGGGACCCTACTGTCAAACCCCTCTGAGGACAGGGCCCCAGATGCCTGCAGAGTCACACACCCCAACCTCCTGTCTCCCTAGAGAATGGGCAGACCCTCTGGATGTGTGCTCATCACCAGAGGCATCCTTGAAGCCTTCTGGGCCAAGGCAGTGGCCAGCATAGATGTTAATCCTGGTTACAAATGGAGAAAGCCAGGCTGAGGAACGAGGCTTCTCTCATATTTATACAAAGCCTTGTTTAGACAAAGACCCAGTTCTACTGGTTATCCACGGCTCTCACCAGCCTCCTGATTAGTTTAAACAAAGACGAGATTTCCCAGAGATAAGACAACCACACAGGGGTCTGACTATGCGAGAACCTGTGCACCAGACACTCTGACCTCTGGTTTCTACAACTGCATCAGGCTCCATGATCCTGGTGAGCTCTGGACCGCTCGCTGCTCACTGCACTCGCTTTCCCTCCATCCCCAGCGTGGACTCCAACATGCCAAGACCTCTTTAATCTGCCCAGTTCTATCTCTGCAGGCATGATAGGAACGGCATTTGGCCATGAGCAGACAGACTGCTCAGTGCCAGGAACCAGCAGACTGATAAACACTGGCCTGTCCTCTGCTGTTACCCTGACTCCCACTGCGGCTGCCACCGTCTGCCTCCGTGCCTCATGGGCCTCACACTTTGGAAAAATAAAGTAGCAGGTGCCGTGAGTACCCAGCAGCCCAGCCTGTCCTCTGCCAAGTCCTCAGAAGTGCAACATTAACTCTTCAGTTGCAGACCTAACTGCAGGGAACCCAGGAGGGACAGACAGCACAGAAGGAGCAGAGACAGGAGCACAGATGCTGTGGGGTCCATCCAGAGGGTCCTACAAGAGGAATTTTCTGGGAAACCAAGCACAGCAATAAAGTTTGCATACATACAAACAGCCCCACCACCTATACAAATGTACTTACATACACATGTATGCTCATACACATACAAACACATATATACACACATATTTAAATCCACAAGGCATACATGAGGACACATACACACATACATGTGTACATAAACATAGACATGTATATTTATATAAATGAATACACATATATATACATGCACATACATTCAAACATAGAGACAGACATACACGGACATATACATGTACATACATATATACACACACTGACATGCACACAGAGAGACATATACATACATGGCCATACACAGTTATGTATGTATACACACGAAGAGATATACATGTACACATAAACAGACATAGACATACACATGTATACAGACACACACACATACACACGTGTGTACGCACGCGCGCTCATCTTCAGATGACACAAACCGCAGATGGACAATGTCTGGGGAACTGCAGCATACTAAACAAGCATCCTCCACCGTCGCTCCCTAACAATATAGAAAGCAGCTACTTTGCATAGCATTTGCATTGCATTAAGTATTATAAAGCACCAGACAGGATTTAACATCCACAGGAAGAAGTGCGTAGGCTCCATGCTTTATACAACATTTCACATGTGGACCACGAACATCTGCAGGCTTTGGTACCCAAGGGGGCCCTGGAACCTGTCCCTAGCAGATTCAGAGGGACAATTGCAAATCTTTGGAAAAAAGCCCTATTGTGGCAGGAAGAAGAACAGAAGCAAATTGACACGGCCAAGAGCGTGAAGTAAGAGACATATGCAGACACACGCCATGGAGCCACACATGTGTCACCCAGAAACATAACATTTGGAGGCTCCCAAGACAGGGGCGCCCAGAGGGCTGTGTGCGGCATTTGACCAGAGTCATAAAACAGGCAAACATACAAATAAAAAACAAAACAAAAAACCCAAGCCTGTGGGAAAGACTTGGAGAGATGACAGAGTAAGCCCGGATGTACTGCGTGACACAAAGGGGTTTCCTATTCTGTCTTGGGGGAGCTATAGCGGACTGAACCCCACATGTTGTGTAGGTTAACATTCTGAAGGACACTGTAGGGCTGCAGTCAGTTGGTGGCATCGGGGGACATTCCTCTGTCTAGTCCAGTGAGCTTGGCTGGGACCATTCTCAGGAGACAAGGCACCTACCTTCTGGTCGAAGCTGTCAGGAGTCAGGTAGAAGTTGTGGAGAGGGACGAAGTAGTCCTCAAGAAGGCCCAGAAGCAGAACCAGGTACACGCCATCTGCAAACTTCGGAGAAAACTCAGTGACAATTCTGGGGCATGTGTGGGGTGGACAGACACTCTGCATGTGTGTAGGAAGGTGTGGGAATGCCCACAAGCTGCAGCGCCCACCCCAGGACCCCATCCCCATTCAGCACTCCCACCTTGCACTGAGAACTCTCAGCAAAGCTCAAGGGAAGAGGCCCATGCCCTAGTCACCCACAGGAGAAGACCAGGGGTTCAGAAGAAAGGGCTCTCACTCTTGACACCCATACTCCTCCCTGAGCAAGCCAGAGATGGGCAACAGCTGCTTTTGCAATGGTAGCAATGGGCCCCTGAGATATAGAATACAAAATTGGCCAACTTAACCAGTTTTAAACAATTTGAATCTTTAGATTTATTTTATGTCTATGAGTGTTTTGCCTGCATGTATGTATGTGCTCCATGTGTGTGCCTGGTGCCCATGGAAGTTAGAAGAAGATATCGGATCCCCTGGAACTGGAGTTAAAGCTGTGAGCTGCTATGTGGATGCTAGGAATTAGACTCAGGTCCTCAAGAGGAACAAGTGCTCTGGTCTATTGCTTCAGCCCTTAAATTTTTAGTATGTATGTGCACACATTTACCACAGTGCACATGCGGAGTTTAGAGGACAACCCTCCTTCCACCATGTGGGTCCTAGGAGTTGACCTTAGGTCATTGCCTTGACTTGGTGATGGGCCACCTCACCAGCCCCCATCTTTGCTGCTTAAAGTGTTGCAGTAGCATGAAGAGCCTTCATACTGCCATGCACGGCCACCACCAATCATCTCCATTAAACACTGATGGCCTGGGAACCCCCACATTCCTTCCACTGTTATCATTATTATTATTGTTGTTATTTTATTGTTTATTATTTTATCTTTAGATAATGTATCCCAGGCTGGCTTCAAACACAAATTGATCCTCCTGTTCCAGCTTCCTGAGTGCTAGCATTTGGGATTTGGTTTTAGGTTTGTATTTTGGGGGTTGTTTATTTGTTTTGAGCATGTGTGTGTATGAGTACACCTATAGGCAAGCATGCAGAGGTCAGAGGGCATCAGGTGTCCTCCTATATCACTCTCAACTTTATTCCCTTGAACCAGGGTTTCTCACTGAACCTGGAGCTCACCATTTTCAGCTAGTTTGGCTGGCCAGGGAATCCTATGGATCCTCCTCGCTGGTCCCTCACGGCACTGGGGTTACAGGTGCACACGACCACACCTGGGTACGGGGGATTTGAACTCAGGTCTTCATATTTGTATAGCATGTGCTCTGGCTCATTGAACACCCCCCACCCACAGCCAGTTTTTTTTTTTTAAACAGGTTCTCACTCTAGCCTCGCCTGGTCTGTAATTTTTCAGCCATTGTCCTGCCTCAGCCTCCCAAGTATTGATATGAGGAACATATACCATCAGCCCCCATATCCTTTCTACCTCTGTTGACTTTTTTCTTGACTAACCATTTTAACTGTGGCTCTCTGTACACCTTTGCCACTCAGACAGCTGGCAGCATCACTACTGGGCAAGCAATGTTCAGAACTCCTGAATTTGACTATATTTTTTATTTTTAGATTTATTTTGTGTATGAGTGTTTTATCTGCAAGTATGTATGTATGTATAAATGTATGCATGTATATATGTATAAGCACAATGTGCATGCCCATTGTCAATGGAAGTCAGAAGAGGGCCCTGGATCCTCCGGAACTGGAGTTAAAAATGTTTGTGAGACACTGTGTGGGTGCTAGGAACCAAACCCGGGTCCTCTATAAGAGTAACAACTGCTCTTAACTACTGAGCCATCTCTCTAGCCCCTTTGATAATCTTTTAATTACATTATTTATTTGGTGAGTGTATAAGTGCACACATGCACATACATGCCACGGTGTACATGTGTAAGTTAAAGTACAATCTGTGGGGGTCAGTTCTCTCCCTCAACCATTCGGGTCGTGGAACCAAACTCAGGTTGTCAGGCTTGGCAGCAAGGATCTTCATGCTCTGAACCATTTTGCTGGTCCCTGAATTTGGCTCTTTAAAAGCTTATTAATACAGAAGGAAGCTTTGGGTGTCACTGGACATATTTGAACCTCAACACACATGGCCAGTGAATGGCAGTCACACCCACAGAATCCCTCTACTGTTAAGGATCAACCACTCAGGCTTTCCTAAGATCCCCAGGCAGGACTCCTGGAGAGGCAGGAGCAGTTAGGACACCTTAGAGGCCATCAGTTTTCAGGGACTAGGACCTCCAAATATATAAATGAGAGCATGAAGGGGAGGTACCCCTTTAAAAGCTTAGATACTTTCAACCCAGCCCTCTACTGTCCTGAGGGTCTTGGAGACTCCCACCTGAGAGTATTTAGATGGAAAAGGGAACATCACAAACATCTGATTTTGAGACCCAGGAGCTTGGGGGGGAAATGCCTTTAAGAAGTGAAAGGCATAAAGTCTTTGTGAGAGGGAAACAGGGCCAGTCACCAAGCACAGACTTAATAGGATGCCAGTGATGGCTAAAGTAGACTTTGCCTAGTTTACACTGTGTGATAGCCAGGAAGAAAAAGAACAATGAGCAAAAATGCAGATTTCCCCCTGGTCTAAGATGCTCTCTGACTGATGAATCCTGCGGGGCCACATAAGAAGTAGGCTGCTTCCATGGTCAGACCTTCCCAGGCCTCATGGCACATGCTGCTTTGCTCTTATACCTCCTCGTCCACCTCCATTTCTCAATAGATGCTAGCCCCAAGGAAACAGAAAGGTCACTAATAACTGCGGCCAGAACACCTGCCACTCGGCACGCTCGTGATTGGGAAGTGGTCCAATCCCAGGGCTGCTTTCCACTAATGCAGCCTCGCACCTGAAGGCACCTGATGGAAGGTAATTATTCTAACAGTGCTGGGGAGGGGACCAAGCTCTGCGACTGAGGAGTCTGAGACAGGAGGATCACCAAAAGTTTAAGGCCAGCCTGAGCTACAAAGTGAATCCAAGACCCTGTATTAAGGAGAGGGAGAGGGAGAGCAAGCGAGAGGGAGAGGGAGAGGGAGAGGGAGAGAAAGAGAGAGAGAATGAATATGACAGAAAAGTGAAATAGATTCAGACAGAGACATCCATCTCTCGCAAAAAGATGCCCAAACGTATTTAGGGAGGGAAAAAAACACAACACATTACAAACCAGCTGTCCAGTGCGATTGACTGCTATTAAGGAGAGTGTGTTGTTTTATGCATGAACACTTTGAAAGAGACCCAGGCAGAGTTGGGGGAGGGGTGGGCAGTAGGGAGGGAGAGACACAGCTTTTCACGTTAGCTTCCCAGGTTTCAGGAAACCGAAAGTGTCACGCAGCAAGTACTGCATGAGCAAACAGCTATGGATAAGCGCTGCTTTTGCAAATCACGGGTACGCGTGTGCACACACGCACACACACATACATACACAATCTGCTCCCTTAGGCAGACCACACTGCACACACCCAGAATCCCCAGGAGGAGGGCTTGGAACAAGCCCCGGAGTGCAGTGGGGTGATATACTATGGTGACTTCTGTTTGTTTTCCTTATCTTCATTTTCAGACATTTCTGCGATGAACCTGAATTACTTTTTTAATTAGAAAAGCAAATGAGAGAAGTTAAGGAAAGAGAAAGCAATAGAAGAAAACGCCTAGGGGTTTAGGAAGGATCAGCCACGCATTAGGGATGTCTGCGCCGCTCAGGAATCAGACTCAGAACTCGAGCACACAACTAAGCTGGGGAGAATTCTGTGGGACCCACAGGGTTTGTATGCTTCAAGACTGTCACCACAATGGCGCTCTAGCTGGAGGAGGGAGCATATGAGATACATATGGCAGAAGTATTTTGTCCCTATTCCCCAAATGGATGATTATTTTATTTCTATTCTTGTAAGTTGTATGATGCTTGGGGCAGGCAACGAGTTCGTGTCCCAGTGCGTATGTAGTCACATGACAACTTGCAGGAGTCAGTTGTGTCCTTCCACTATGTGCATCCCTGGGGATCAAACTCAGGCCATTAAGTTTGCTTGGTAATCACCTTTACCAGCTGAGCCATCTCCCTGGCCCCAGGTTGAATGGGGCATTGTTCCCATGCTGCCACAGGACCAAATGTGAGGCTGCAGCGTCTCTGCCATAGAAGCAGAGGACACAGAATGTTCTAGGCCCAGAGACTTTTGGAGCAAATGGCCCTGTGGCAAGATGGGATGGAGTCCTGGGGGTGGATAATAAAGTTGAACTGTCTCTCTCAAAAATAAATTCGAATTCTAATCCTTAGACTCTGTGCACGTGACTCCATTTGGAAACAGGGTCTCTGTTGCGTTTGTGCCATTAGGGTGGGCTCTAATCCAGCACGATGTTCCTCTGCTCTCAAGCATCCATTTCTAGACACTAGCTCTGAGGGAGCAGACGGGGTGGGGGTGGAGGGCACAGAGAGCTGTGTGCCGAATGCAGATGTACAGGCACAGAGATGCAGACACAGGATGAGGCCACAGAAGATGGACGTAATACATCTCTGGGCCCAAGAACACCAAAGCCCGCCTGCAGGAACACAGCAGAAACCACAGAGGGGCTGGGAAGGAGCTAAACTGTAACTCTGTGCCCGCACTGTGACTCTGGACCCGAAGCTTGCAGAGCTCATGGTTCCAGCCTTCAGTCTCTGCCTGCCAGGGCTGCAGGAAGCAGAGAGTCTGAGCAGCCAACTCGGTCGGGCGGAAACAATGCTGTGGGCTACATACTGGAGGCTCTCCCTGAGAGAGACAAGGTGGTCCCACTGGCTCCCGCACCCTACCTGAGTCGAGAGGTACTAGAAACATAGGCCAGAGGGACCCTCCACCGAAGCCTGCCTACCTGGGTCTCCAGGTCAGTCACCTCCAAGTTCAGCTTATTCAGGTGCTTGTTCACAAATGTGATGAGAGACTGTCAAAGCAGAGAAGCAAAGGCCATATCAGCAACCTTCTGCAGAATTCCCCCAGCCCCCAATATGGCGGCCTGAGACCCTCCAGACCCTCCTCTGGTGGCTAAAACAAAAAGGCTATGTATCAGACACCATACTCTTAAGCCAGGCCTAGTCTTAATGGCACAGTGCCAACAGGGATCGAGCTGTCTGGTCTGCATGACCCTATTGTAAAAGAGCACGCCATGCTACACATTGCTGAGGGTGGTCTCAACATACAAGGCAAACCTTAGAAATTCCAAACACCTTTCATCCCATCTCAGCCTGCCTTGGGTCTGCAGAGAGTCTAGGCAGAGTCTACACAGGTCCCATGAAGGGTGGCGATGGGGGCCGGGGCATGTCGGGAGGGATCTACCTTCTTCACAAGGTTGAGCTTGTCCGGTGCATGGTCGAAAAGTGTGTCGAAGGCATCCCGCTCTGTCACGACATGCAAGAGAGAACACAGAGGGGAGTTCTGGAGAGGACTCTGCTGCCCTTGTTTCTAGAAACAGCCACCCTGACCCCTCGGGACGTTCTGCCTGGGGCTTCCAGCCTGTTCTATCCCTCTAGTTTCTGCCAGAGCAGAGGAACCTGAAGACTGGCATTGCCCGAGTGTAAGACCAGGATCACTATCTGGTTGGTGAACCAAGGGTGTGTGGGGCTTTCTCAAACTCTTAACTATCTGCAAATCTTTGGGCATGGGAGAGTGGGTCACACATGACACCTACATGCTCCCACTGAGCTCCTGAAGCATCCTTGTCTCTCCTAAGATCTACCACTGCCTGTGAATCCCACCACTTCTCCTCTTGGCCAGGTCTGCTGTTCCCATGCCTGGTCCACCTCCCCTTCCCTGGGGATGCCCACAGCTTCCAGGGCAACTGGCCTCTTCCCCATCAGCATCCAGACTCTAAAAGTGCAACTGGATGTCCTCTCACCTTCTTCTCACTCCGACACTGTGGTCCATCCTCTCTTCCCAGGCTCTACCAAATGGTCTCTCTGAAGCCTAAGGTACAGCCCTATACAGGGCCTTTAATACAGCCTCTCTGCCCCCAGGCTGCTCTCCAAGGTCACTTCCTCTGAAGGACTGCTTGGAAAGGCATCCGAGCCGTTGGTATCTTCTGCAGGATACCTGCAGACAGCCTATTCCTCCCTGAGAAACCCAACACCTCTCTCTTCCCTGGTGAACCACAACCTGTTCTGTCACATGTGCAAGCTGCCACCCCAATTAGCACAGAAGCACCCCATCCTTCCCTACTTGATTAAGGTCAACAGTGGACAGAAGCCTTGCAAAATTAGTATATGAAAAAAAACCAAGTTGGCAAAGAGGAAACCCTGGAACCCCAAAACCCCTCCCTTCTCACAAATGGACACCCCCAGCCCACAAAAGCTGACAAAGAATTTTTTTCTTAATCTGAAAATCTGCCTCTGCCTCTGGCTCAGGACCCAAGCACTCCTGTGTCTGTGGGTGGCCTGGGCCTCACTGTAACACTGTGGCTCACCCCTGGGGGCAGATGGAAGATGCTAGTGAGGGATGATGACACATGAGTTTGTGTGAACTACATGTGACAAACAGAGCACTCAGAAAAGCCCACTCTATGCAAATGAACCAAAATAGCCTTGCTATGCAAATGAGGGGAAAGCCGGCTCTAAGGTAACAGGAAGCCCAGCTCTGCAAGCTGGAGGCCTCACTTCCTCCCTTGGAAGTGGATCGTTCCTCAGGAAATCGGCAGTTCTGGCTACAACTCTGTGTCTCTCTGTCCTTTGTTCAGGAACAGGAGAACCCGGAACCCCTACAGAGGGGCCCTCTGAACCTCTATATCTGCCAATATTTGAAAGAAGTAGGAGACATAAGTCTTCGGGAAAGATGACCACAGCCTAGGTCAAAGCAGAGGCCTGAGGGCTCCAGGGCCAACAGAGTGCTGCTGAGGGAGGGGAAACCCAGGAAAGGACCTAAGTCCTGACCTCTGTCTGCTTGGTTCTTGGGCATTGTAGGCTACTGGGACGGAGCTAGTAGAGAGGCCATCCACCCCCAGCTCCACCGTGGCATCCCAGTGGGAGTGGGTGCACAGGGAGCCTTCTCTCACCTTGGGGGAGGGGGAATACTGAGGAGGAAGGAAGGAGGAGAATGAAGAAGGCTGGGGTGAGCTGAAAAAGCCAATCAGGTAGTTTAGAGGAAGCCTTCCTACCCACCTAGCCCCAAGTGGAAAGTGCCAGAGATTCAGGCCAGGGTAGGGTCTGGAGACATCTCCATCCAACCTGGGGCCTCATTGTAAGCCTTGGGAAAGGGGAGAGGCTAAATGAAAAGAAGGACCCCTGTGTGTGTGCATGTGTGCATGCTGGAGCGAGCATGTGTGTCTGTTGGGGGAAGGGAGGCAGCTCCTTTCCCCCAGAGTCGGTGGGGACAAAAAGCTACCCTCAGCGCCAGCTGTCACTCTCTGCCACAATCAGCTAAGTCAGATTATCCCCTGGAAAACAATCTGTAAAGGGGCAAAAGGAGCTTAGTCCTCATGAAGCAGCGCAGCCCGGTAAAGCCGCTTAGGCAAAGCCCCAGGAGCCAAGATGCTTGACGTCACTGGTTTATTTAGCCGGGCCACCGCTGGGCTGGCAGAGCGCTATGTGGGCGGCTGCTGGGCGCCTCCCATGCTGGCTGCTCACCTGGGCCTAGAGGAAGCATCAGAGTGTGTCCTGTGGCCAGGAGGGACCAAGGGCTCTAAACAGGGTTTAGGGGGACAGGGCAGAGCTGGGTTCATATCCTCACTGTGTGACATGAAAGCCCACAGACTTCAGGCCACTTCCGTGGCCAAAGGGTTTCTTCCTTTGTAAGTAGGAACAACCCAGTCTGTCACCCCACCACCCTGGTGAGCATCAAGAGATGGGATGGGGCCCGGGGACAAGTCCGACCATCAGGCATGTCTGGGTCTCCACCATTTCCCTCTTGTGCTGGGGAAGTTACTAGTTGGGAGGGGCACAGACAGAAGGGTCCCAGATCTGCCTAGAGCCTCACTCAGTCTACTTCAGACTAAAGGTTCTCCCCAGTCCACATCTCTGAGTCCCCTTGAAAGCAAAGGCTAAAGCCATAGTGAGTCACACATCCACCCAGTGTCAAGAACCCAGGACAGGGTTGGGGGGTTCCTATTTCTCTGTCCTGCAGCCTCTGCTCATAACGCTCAGCTCCCGAGCTTTGACCAACTCTGTCAGGCTGGTCTCTGGGAGCACCCCAGTGTGTACATGTGGACAAGAGGTTAGAGTCATGGAGGGGTGGAGGAAAGGGCTTTGAGGTTCAAGCCAGGCTTGCTGGAGCAATCAGAAGGGGAATGGCATACCTGCCAGAGTGAACAAACTGTGCAAAGAGAAACTTGAGAGCCCGGAGTTGATTTAAGAGCAGGGTGGCCCGGGAGGGAGGCTGACAGGAGCTACAAGGCTCAGTGTGGTATCCTGGGTGCATGGTGACCAGGGGGTGTGAAAAGGGGTGTGAACAGGGGTGTGACCAGGGGTGTAAACCCCAGGTCAGAGTTTTAGCACGGGTTCTACTGGAGAGGAAAGGGGGGAGACTGAGTCACAGCAAACTGAGCATGGGATGAGGGAGCTGCTTCTGTTTCTTGCCCATCCCATCTTGACAGCAACAGAAAGGGCTCCTAAGTGGGGGAACTGGGGAGGAAGGGCCACCAGCTAGAGAAAAGGCAACTGGCAAAGCCGTTGCTATGGAGACCAGGCTCTAACCTCCCAGCTCCCAGGAGACTTGTTTCCAGGGAGAGGAAAAAACCTGCTCCCACCTCAGCCAGGACAAGATGATGATGGGAAGTGGCTGGGCACCCCTTTTTCTGCTGGAAAGATGGAAGAGGAGCCAGAGAGGAGCTGCTCCCCCTGCTCACAGCCCTTGAAGGCTAAGCAGGCTGTGGGAACTGGTTCCAGCAAGGATCAGCCTAAGAGGGTCAGCATGTTGTCTCGGACCCTCTTCACAAGAGACAGGGTTTAGGGAGGGCTGCTGAGACCCTGGGGGTGACTACACAGGGAACTCACACCAACACTTAGGCTCCTGGGAGTAGGGCTGACGGATGATTATAGACACAAAGAAGACAACCTGAGAGTAGAGGACCAGTGTATGCTGGTTGGTGGCAGGGGATCCCTGGTGAGTGACAGCCAAGCCAATGCAAGAGGGAGCCATGGGGTAACTGAGCAGGAGGGCAGCTCAGCCGGAGAGCAATGGAACTGAGGAAGCCACAGGGTGAGGCCTAGATACTCAGGAGGTAAAATAACCAAAGAGGCCACAGGGGATGTGATGTCTGGGACATCCTTAGAGGCCACTGCAGGGACTGTGGACTGTGAACAGATATATGACAAGGGGTGTTTGGAGACCTTCCTCCCCAGCAGTGTGCAAAGAAGCTGAGGGCTCGGTGGAAATCCATGTGGCAGAGGGCACTGTGGTAGCAAAGGCAGTGGTGTGACAAGACCCTGGCAGGGCACTGAAGCCAGATGTGCCCAGAAATCTTGTGTCACTCACTCCCCAACAAGAGGATGCCTGGGAGCCCAGGGACTCGCTGCACCGAAGCTAAGGCTGTCAGACGTGTAACTAGGAGACCTCTTTGCGTCAGCAGAAGCACAAGGCGGGGGCGAAACTAATTGCCTGTCACTAGCTAAAAGCCTGTTTCATCTTACGCCAGAGCATGTGAGAAGTGAAGTCAGTACAGCCCCCGAGGCCTCTTATGGCCTCGGATGTCCCCAGCGCTGCGGCTGAGTCCTGGTGCACCTGGCTTTCCCCTTGGGAGCCACACCCTGTGTGCCTTGCCAGGTCTTCTTCCCAGCTGCCAGGGCTCCCAAGATACCAACAGGGCCCAGGATCCCCTCCCCACAACCAAACCAACTCTTTTCAAATCCTCTGAACCTGAAACAGGGCCAACCCAAACACAGAAGTGACAGCTCCACACTCAGAGGCATCTCAGGCCCCCTCATTTGTCATCTTCCCACCTCTGGCCTCTGCATCCTCAGGGGAGGTGATAGGGGAGCATGGCTTGAAACCAGCCTGCACCCGGATACCGGTCCGGCGTGAACCCACGTCTGCCTCCACCCTGCCTCTCCTTCACAGACTGGATAGAGGCTCCCTTCCGCCTTCCTTTATTTGGGTTTAATAACAATGACATTACAGGCTAGGATGGAAACGGGAGAGCTAACCTGCTTTATCAAAATGTTGAAACGCCCGTGGATTCTCCAAGCAGCCATAGCACCTGTCCATTGGAGAAAGCTCAGGGCCACATGGCTGCGGCTTTCTCTCAGACTTAAGACCTTCCAGGCCATCAGAGCTGGGTCTGCTCTCCACAGGGGTGACTCACATCCTTAGACCCTCCAGATTAGAGAAGGGCGCTCTGTGGGGTTGTGGAGGAGGCACCTGAACCCCAAGGTTTCCCCAGGGTCAGGCATACATCTGGAACTGAGCTGGGAACTTCCACCTGGCTTCTGTTTTCCTCCCCTCCTTGCTGGCTGGAGAACACCATTGTGGTCAAGGACTTTTTGTTTTGAACTGCCCACATTAGCCTCCCTCCCTAAGCCAGGAGCCAGGCTTCTGCTTCCCAGGGTTTAAATGCTCTCCTGCACAGGTTTTTGGTTCCTTTGTCTGCCCTCTCTTGCCCAGGGGACAAGGTCGGGTGAGAGGGTAATCACCTCCTTTTCTCCCTCCCTCCCTAAAGGTAAGCTAAAGACTTTCTCCAGGCCGGCACTCCTCCCTCCCTCCAACCTCACCCCTCCTGCCCAAGTTCACAAGCATGACCTTGAGAAGCCCAGATCTTTCTGGGCTGGACCCTGCGTGCCCACAGGTCTCAGCAAGTTCCATCCCAAACCAGGATACTTACCAAACCGGCCCATCATGATCCTGGAAACAAGAACAAAGAGTCAGATGGTTCTTTGGACCAAGTCTTAAGAAGGGGACAGGTAGAGCCAACCAGACCCCAGCACCCAGCCCCAGGGCCTTCTGGTGAGGGACATGTACAGATGGCTGACATCAGCACATGAATAGCAGCAAACTGCCCTCTTCCCTGACACAGTGACCACCATGGTATGCCAATGGGAGGGGACAGACATAATGGATCATGGGACATAGGAGTATATTGATCCTGGTCAAATTGTCTCACAGCCGTGCCCATCAGATAGGGCAGTGTTTCTCAGTCTGTGAGTTGTGTGCCCTTTGGGAGCCCCAATGACCCTTTCCCAGGTTCACAGATCAGACATTTTGCATATCAGATACTTACGATTCATCACAACAGCTAAATTACAGTTGTGCAGTAGCAGCGAAGTAATTTTATGGTGGGGGTCACTACAACATGGGGAACTCTATTAAAGGGTGGGCTCACCACAACATGGGGAACTGTATTAAAGGGTCGCGGCGTTAGGAAGGGTGAGAACTACTGGGCTAGAGGGTGAGGACGGAAGGAGTCTGGAACTTTGGGCTAGAAAAGCCATTTGCTTAAAGATTAATGAGTTGTTGTGAGAACTTGGAAAATAATGCTGGGAAACCCCACTGGTGAAGTTTTGGAGGGAATTTTCAGAGTCCCTGAAAGACTCCATGGGGCTTTTTTATTTTTACTTTTTGTTGCTCTGCCTGTATGGATGTCTGTGTGGGGGTGTTGTATCCACGGCCTCTGCCTCAGTGTCTACCTCCAGGTTCCCTCTTTGAGTTCCCGCCCTGACTTCTCTCAGTGGTGAGACTACAGCTGGAAACTGGAGTAAGCCATTTCCTCCCTCAGGTGCCTTTGGTCACGGTGTTTATCACAACCATGGAAAGTAAACTAAGATAGTTTGGCTGCAGCTAACCCAGCCACCATGAGTCATGGTCCTGGAGCCAACTTCCAGCTGCCACCCACATGTCCCCTTCCTGAAGCTAAGAGATGCATTCAATCCCTAGGCAGCAACCTCTATGGCAAGGGCTTGGGCTCCGTCTCAGTAAATACTTACTGGAAAGACCCACTGTGTGCAGGAAATAAAGACACAGAACCAAACACCCTGAACCTGGACCTGGCCAGAGTTTCTCCTCCACAGCTCAGAGCTGGTAACAAGGAAGATCGTGAAAGACTACGGGAATGGTAAGGCCATTCACTCCTGTTCAGCTGGAAGGTGGAAGGGCTTTCTGGAGGGAGAGCCCTCTGGGGAAGACATGGAAAATAGGAGTTAAGTGTTAACTGTGTGCCCGGTGTAGTATGCATAACTTGGATCCCAGTACTCGGGAGGCAGAGGCAGGCAGATTGCTGTGAGTTCAAAGCCAGCCTGGTCCACATGGTTAAGACCCTTTCTCAAAACAAACAAACAAACAAACAAACACTAACCTTGGGCCTGTGCATCCTCAAAGGTATGTGCACCAGAGAGGATACAGAGAAGATATAGCCAGAGGTGTACAGCAAGGATGTTGATGGACCATTGTAGTTTTGGCAGGCACCTGATGCTCTACTTATCTATCAGCGCCGCTGTGGCCACAAGGATGGGGGTGGGGGTGGACAAGAGAGAGTAAACTCCAGGTCGGATAAGAGGATGACAGCAGACAAGGGACGAGAGACATCTCAGCTCCTCCCTTGGCTACGTAGAAGAGTCTGGCATCCAGCAGAAATGGCTCAACTTAAGTGTCCCCATCCCTGACTCCAGGGTGCTCCTGCCCCTGAAAACACCACAATAGGCACAGAACGTCCCAAGTCCTCCCTCTGTCTGATCTTACATTCTACCCAACTGTCTCCTTGTCAGCCCTGGAACAGATGAACCGTGTCCTCCACCTGCCCTGCTCTTCCATGACCAGCTCTGGCGGGTACACAGCAGGCCTCTGGAGTGCTGGGCACAGATGGGGTGGGCAGTTAGGTGAGCATCGACCAAACCTCTCTCCACTTTCAGGTTTTGCCCCTGATGACTGTGGAACCCCCAACACCTCTTGCTGCCTTCTCTGGTCCCCCTCACTCTGTGCAGACTGCAATAGATGGCTTCAGCTACTTCCCACAGCCGTACAGGCCCTGGCCACTCCAGGTCATTAGGTGGAGTATATTCTCCCAAATCCCCATCTCAGAATGACCCAAAGAGAAAAGGCACGGGTCAGGAATCCAGGATGGGGCCAGGATGAGGGTACTCAGCCTCTCAGAACACGGGGTAAAGAGAGCCGAAGCTCAGCCCGTGAGGAGGAAAGGCAGTATGAGAGGCTCCCTGGGTCCATCAGGACCTGGGAAGCCCTCGGATGCAGATACCACAGGACCCATCATACAGCAAGGTTAGCAAACCGCCTGGCTGAGCCCATTCACATGGCTGTCTGCAGGCTTGTCAGGGTGGTATCTCAAGTCAGACCACCAAGCCTCCACCCGGCTGTGCATTCCCGGGACTCATTCTTCTGCAGCCACAACACACTCACACCTGACATCCCCCCGCCCCAGCTCCCTGCCCTTCCCTGAGGGCTGCGGGATGCAGGACAGAACACACACACATCACAGGGCACACTGCCATAACTTTGACTCCTCTGGCAGCCCACTCAGCTGCTGAAAGGCTATAGATGCACAGAAAGGCATCTGCGTGAATGGAGCTGGTGAGCTAGCTGACACCAGCAATGCTTTTAAATATTGAAACAGGTTTAGTCAGCAGGGGCAAGAGCAGTGAGTGCCTAGGATCCGTCATGGGCACTGTGGGACCTCACACACGATGCACTACCTGGTTTGTTATTAAGGTGTAGTTCCTCGAGGCTTTTAAAAATTCTAGCTTTCTCAAAGAGACCAGAAGACTCAACAGTGTCCACCATAGGTCAAGTCTGACTGATCACATGGCTCCTCCCTCCAAAGGAGCAACTGGTGATTGACAGATGAAGATTAGGAGACAAGCAAGACATGACAGGCTCCATGGTGACAGGCTCCATGGCCATCCTGAGCTAGCACCCCTGACATTCTTTCAAATTTGGGGGCAGGGGGTTGAGACAGGCTTTCTATATGTAGCTTTGGCTGTCCTGGAACTACCTCTGAAGACCAGGATGGCCTCAAATTCACAGAGATCCACCTGACTCTGCCTCCCGAGTGCTGGAATTCAAGGTGTATGTCACCACCGCCTGGCTTAATTTTTTTTTAAATTGTATGTAATGTATGTATGATTTGTGTGTACACACACACACTTGTGTGTGCAGGGCAGAGACTGACCCATCACCTTGTTTTTTGAGGCAGGGTCTCTCACTGAACCCGGAGCTCACTGATTTGGCTAGACAGGCTGACCAATGGGCTCCAAAGATCCTCCTGTCTCTTCCACCCCAGTGATGGCATTACAGACATGCACTCCTGCATCTGAATATGTTTTTTAAAATGTGGGTGCAGAGGATTAGTTTCTCATGTTCACACAGCAAGCACTTTGCTGACTGAACCCATCCATTCAGTTCATCTTCTAAAATAAATTCCCTCTGATTTTTGGAGGGAATTTCAAGAGTCCCTCAAAGACTCCATGGGGCTGACATGGAAAGCCCAGAAGAAAATGTATGGAGGAAGTTAGCACACACACAAAAAGCATACACTAAGACTAAAGAATATGGAGAAATACAGGCTCCCCCAGGCCAGCGTCCCTGCCTGAAGCCAGAATCGGGGCCTGGCTCATATGGGGCATGGGTCCCTGAGGGTCAGTTGACATGAGGTACAAAACCCTGAGGGTCAGTCGCCATTCACTTACTCCGTGGTCGTGGTCAGCTCCTCCGAAACGTGGCTGGAGTGCAGCAGGCCTTCCCGCTTCTGAAAACCGCAAAGCAAGCAGATCAATGCATAGACCGTGGGGCAGGAGTGGAGTAGCGAGCACCTGCTGACCTCATGGGAAGTCCACTCACCCTGGGCAGGATGCCAGCCTAGAAAGGGTCACAAACCCAGTGCACTCTTCATGCCCCAGGAAGGTATACTCCGGGTGACCACAAGGGAGACCCTTTCAGTGCCTGTGACTGTCCCCAAATTGTTCGCCATGGTGCCCTGGGATATGGCGACTAAACAAGGCTCAAGAGAAATGTCCCAGGAAGGACACACCAAATAACGCTCCTCTTCTGCAGCTGGGATGGGGAACATGGGTAATCAGGGAGTTCATGAGGCATGCTGGGGAAACACCAGAGGAAGAACATGTGAGCAACTTGCCATACAGAAAGCCCCAAATGTGTCTACCCAGGGCCTCGCAACTTGTTTTTTTCCTTGGTGACTTTCAATACCGGTGAAAAGAGGCCGCGGAATAATGAGCAGCAATGAACTCTGAAGCTGGGATGAGTGGCACTCTTGAACACGAAAGAGCAGAACAAAGGACTACAGCCATGAACCCGGGACACTAAAGACAGCCGGCAGAAGCCGAACGGGGCCAAGAGGACTGCTCCCTGAAGCCAGCAGCACTGGGAGAAGAAATCCACCTGCCACTTGAAGCCCCACTCACCCCATTAGTGGCGCTTCACCCCAGCAACCCTGGTAAGTACACAGAGGTGCCAGGAGGAGGGCAGAGGGACAGTGGATGCCAATCCAAATACACTGGGACTCCGCAGAGGCCAGCCAAAGTAACCAGAACCTCAGGCCCCTGCTTGAAGCTTCTAAAGGACAGAAATCTGTTCTAATCAGAAGCCCCCCCACATGCTTCCCTGATCTGGCCTGCAGGGATCTTGTAGACTCGTTCTTATTAACAAGTAATGGCAGCTGGCGACCTCAGCTTGGCTCACCCCCGGGCCTTGCGCCAACTGATACACAAGAGCCTGCCAAATAAGACTCTAGGTGTTTGGTTCACCTATTTACATGCTAAGCGTGAATGAGGGGCCTATTAGTTGCTGGGCATTAGGGAAGTCATTGGTAAACTTAGGGCTGGATAATCGAATGGTTAGCAACATCACACAGAGTTTGTAGGGAAATCAAGAGGCAAAAGCAATCGAGAGCCCAATGCTTCCACTGCTGGGGGTAAGCAAGGTTTGGGCTTCCTGTCTTCCAGCTGTGAAATGCCCCATGTCTCGCTTTGCCCCATCTCAAGTAAGACAGTGGGTTACCCGAGCAAGCATATGGACAGCCCAGAGGACCTCAGGAGAGGCAGAAAGAAGTTCTGAGCAGGGCCTGGGGGGTGACTTCTAAGAAGCTGCCGTCCAGCTGGAAATCCTCACTGAGGTCTCTTCTACTTTGGACTCTGTGCTAACAGCTCAGGATCCCTGGTCAAGGCATAGGCATGCTGGAGGGGACTTGCTGGAGGGGGTCAGACTTTCCAAAAATCCAAGCTTGTCTTGGACCAACGCGTAAGACTGAAAGGAAATACTTGGACAGTGAGCCCGCTCAGCACTCTTGGGGCCCGGGGCTGACGTAGGTAGGTTTAGGAACCATTTTTCCCCTGTGTCCTTGGGAAGCCTTTCCCAGCCTGCTGCCTGGGAGCCGGCAGCCAAGACTAGGGCCACAGGAATGGTCCCCCTGGGTCTGCGTCACTCTCGCTGACCACAAACATCCTGATTGGGAAGGAAGCAAGGAGAAATGGCAGGTGATCTTCACTTAATATCAGAAAGGGCCTTCCCAGCAGGGTACGACTAAGCTCCCAGGGTAGAAGAGAGGTCAGTATGGCTTCCGAAAACACAGGCTCAGCCAGGTTGTCATGGACCACAGACCACAGAACAGATAAGTTAAAAATTCAGAGAACAGAGTGAAACTGAGCGTCTCCAGTAGCGTAAATACCAGTGACACACAGGTCCCAACTGTGACCTCAGACCTTTGGCAGACACAGTGGCTCTTCCAGGCCAAATGGGATTTCCTCATTCAGGGTCCCCATAAATTCAGGCATATGTCCGGCACCCGTAGATATTTAATACACTGAAGTCATGCACAGGAACCAAGTCAGGCCAGCATCTGTGTGCTTGAATGCTAAAGCCCAGGACAGCATGCATGGAAAATCTACGCCTGGCCCCATTACCAGGACCCCAGGTCCTGGCTCACTTCTCTAAGTAAATCAAGAGAAATGAACCTAAAAAAAGAGATAATGGGGAATGATGGCTTATAATACGGAGCAAATGTGGAGAGCCTTTAATTTGGGTGTCTATTTCATTCTGCCGGTCGCAGCCTCCTCCAGTGTGTAATAAGCACATTCAAGGGGATTGGATTCCGACTCGGTGGCTTTGGAGAGAAATGAGCGTTCTTTTCAGAAATCTGGGAAATTAAACCTCAACACCCGTGTGCCACTCTTCAAATCAACGCCATTGTTCCCTCTCCAATCATTTCTCAAAGAGCCAGGGTGAGATATGCATTTTATCAAGAGGGAAAAATACAAGGTAGCCTCTCGGGATTGGGGGAAAGGGCTGGAAAACTACAAGAAGAAAAAGAGGCAGCTTGCCTCGCCAGCAGAGAGACGGGCGAAGAGACGGCCCAGTGTACTCACCCGGACGACCACCACCTGCACGGTGACATGCTCGGGAAGGTGGATGGGGGCCCTGAAGTGCATGGCCAGGGAGACGAGGAGGTGAAGAATGGACACCAGGTTCTTCCCGTGGATAGCTTTGGGTGGAGGGGGAAGAAAGAGCGGCCTCGGGTCAGATGCTGTAGAGAGCAGGGGACCATCTCGAGGGCAGGTCTCAAGGAGACCTCTGGGGGAGGATGAAAGGACCTCAGATAAGGAGGCCTCAGAGGGCTTCTGCCTGCTTCTGCCTGGCTTCTCTCTGTTCTTTCTTGTTGGCTCAAGGCCACTTGACAATCATGTTCTTTTTATTTTATTTTTTATTATTTTTTTTTTTTGGCAGGATCTCACTATGTAGTCCTGGTTGGCCTAGAACAGCTGACCTCAAACACAAAATGATCCACCTGCCTCAGCTTTCAAAGCACTAAGATTAAAGGTGTGTGTGTGTGTGTGTGTGTGTGTGTGTGTGTGTGTCACTGTGCCTGGTTTGAGCAGTGACTTTTAAAAGCCTCGTGTTCTTTAAAGCAGAGAGTTGCAGGTTGCAGGGACAAGGGGCAGGTCATAGCTGCATACACCACAAGAACACACGTCATTATCATTAGCACTAGGCAAACTTCTGCCACTAAACGATCAGCTGTCCCCATGGGGAAGATCGACAAGGGTAGGGGCTACTCTGGGTCCCAGTCGGACCTGGCTGCCTGCCCTGGCTCTCGCTGAATAGAAAGCTTCAGGCCAGGTTATAGCGAATCTGTGGAGGGGTTTTTAGCTCTTGAGGCACTTCCTACCCATAGCCCAGCACCTGAGTTAGAAGGATAGGTCTACCCAAAGTCAGGCCAAGAAACCAGCAGCAGGGTCAACCCCGTCCTCACAGCCAAGATCTGGGCTCTTATGTAGGGCACAGAGCACTGGCCCTGAAGGGCAGGCTTTGGGATCATGCCACATCACACCTGATGTGGGGACATCAGAGGAGGTGGGGACATGGGCAGGACAGAAGCCATCAGCTTTTTCAGCCAGCTCATCCCCTCCTGTTCCCTCTGAGCTAAGAACTGTAAGGCCACAAACCCCTCAAGTCTGCTGACACATGACATTCCTGAACTAGCAATGGGTTTCTTGGCACCTGCTTCAGTAGGCCACCCCCACATGGGTTCACTTTGGGTTCACCCCACTGGGTGTTTGGTGTCAAGTCCCAACAAAAAAATTCTTGGACCAGGCATATAATCCCAGCATTCAGAAAGTGGAGCCAGGAGAATAGGCCAGCCTTGGGTACATATTGAGTTCAAGGTTAGCCTGGGCTACATGACTCTTAAAAACAATACAAGGTCTTAGGAGACGTCTCAGTCCATAAAATATTTGTCACACAAGTATGAGGACTCAAGTTGAAGTTTTAAAAAAGCCAACTGTGGTAGCCCGGCACAGGGTAGTTGAGGACAGAAGGAGCCTGAGTTCACTGGCCAGCCAGCCCCGCCTCACTGGTGAGCTGCAGGTCTCAGTGAGAGGCCCTACCTCAAAACAGTCCAGGGGCGTGGTTCCTGAGGAGCGCTGCTTGAGGCTGGCCACTGGCCTCCAGACACTTGCACTTAGACCCACACAAAATAAACAAACAAACACGAACAAATAAGAATCCTAGAAGTGAGACACGGTGGGGGTGGGGGAGCGCGTGTGTGTGTGTGTGTGTGTGTGTGTGTGTGTGTGTGTGTATGTGTGGTGTGTAAGGAGGTGGGGAGGCAGAGCCCTGGTGTGTAATTGTGCCCTTAGCTGTGTGTCTCCACCCTAGCGTCTCCAGACCTCTCCTCTGCCACCTGGCCTCTGGCACAACAGGTCAAGGGGGTACAATGGTTTTAACCACAAGGCCTTATGGAGTAATCGATGACAACACAGAAGGACGGAGGATGGTTCCTTCCAACACTCGGTCCCCACACAGGGGCCACTCACAGTCCACATTCCAGCGCAGCGGCCAGCCGTGGGGCCGAAGCAGATCCTGCACAGCCTCCAGGACCGTCTGCAACTTCTGCTTTTGCCCGATCTCGGACTGTGTCACCTCGGCCACATTCAGCTTGCAGTGCCCCAGCTTTTCTGTGGAGACAAGGACAAGGTCATGAGGCAGAGTGTCCAAGGGGGAGGAGCTGGAGCCACCCGTGCCCTGGCTGGAGCAGGGACACCTTAGCCCAGATCCCTGGGACGGCGGTACCGGTACCGTGCTGAGCCAGGAAGCTCTGGACTTGGGAGGCCATTTCTACTGTGAGAAGGTTGCACAATAGCAAGTGAAGGGCAGTTAAGAATGAAGCAGGCGTTTGGGAGCAGCTTATGTGCACGAAATGGAGAAGACCCCTTCACGATGCAGCTGGGGGTCCAGTGTTGTCGTGGTGGTGGTCAGGCACCGGACACCACAGTGGAAGAACAGAGCTGTTCAAAAGTTGTCCTCTGGCCTGCTGCCAGCTAGAACCCTCTAGGTGGGCCTGGGAAGCTGCACCCATGAAATCACAACCACATGGCTGCCTCAACAAGACCTGATAGTGGCAATTCCAGTTGACATGCCACAAAGCCCCAGCCCGAGATAAAGAAGCACAGGCGGTTAATGGCTGCAGGGGGCAGGAGAACCTGTCCTCTCCAGGGACAGGGAGTCCCCTGGTTGATTGTTCAGTACCAAGTGGTCAGCCTAAAGGTGCACGTAGGAGCAGCACTGAATGCACTCACTGAGCCGCAAATACACAGACGTAAAATTAATAATTAAAAAAGAAATCATGAACTTGAGAGGGAGTGGGGGTGCGGGGGAGAGGTGGAAAGGTGGCAATGGTGGAAACACAGGGCCTTGTTTATAAAATTCTCAAAGAAAACCCTTAAAAATTTATATTATTTTAAAAGCTAAAGTTAGCTGGATGTGGTGGCACATGCCTTTAACCCCAACACTCAGGAGGCAGAGGCAGAGTCTGTCAGGGTTACACAGTGAAATCTTGTCTCAACAAAAGAAAAAAGGTTGTCATCTGATTTTTAGATACACATGCATTCCCCCCACACACACCATCATACACTAGCGATGATGATGATGATGATAATAATAATAATAATAAATAATAATTTAAAAATAAAAGCAAAAGGTGCGATAGTGGAGTGAGGAAGAGGAAGTTCCTGGGCCGGCCTCAAAGGGTGACTGCAGAGAATGTGGGAAGGGGAGATGTCCCAGCAGAGTCCCAGACAGCGAATTTTGATAAACACAACAAGAAAAGCTCAGCGAGTCTCCCCTGCCTTCCTAGGCTCCTTCTCGGGTCTCTAACATTTTCACACCGCAAGAAGTTTGATTGGAGATTCGCCGAGTTGGTGACTGTGTCGTTTCTAAGAACAGGCAGGAAGCACTCCGGAGGAACCTGGCCAAGAATTTGTCACATTCGCTCAGGATTCAATTACCTAGACAGGGACCCAGCCGCCTTCAATTTCCTTTGGGAATCGGGGAGGCAGCAGGTGAGAGCAGGTAGCCACAGATACAGCAGCCAGCGCTCCGCCCGCCCCCCCCCCCCCCCCCCCGTGAAGGCAGGGAGCCCCGTTCCTTCCTAGTCTTTAATTCCAAGATGCCAAGATGTGATATTTCCTGGCAGGGCTCCTCTGCCAACTAGCGAAGGCGCAGACCCAGGGTGACCGGAGGCAATTTCCTGGAATGTGATTACCATGTCCTTAGCCCGGGATGCAAAGCTGCCATCAGCCACATTGTCACTGAGATCATGAACCCCGCTAAGGTCCCACAAAGTTCTGCCACACGTGTTTTCCTGGGCCCGGGACTTCCGTGTTCTTGCCCCCGCTCCGCCCCCAACTTCCAGCTCCTGCAGTTAAAATGGTCCGTTCTTCTGCAGTCTGTGGGACAAGACGGCACATGACCGTCTACTACACACGGTACAACCCTTCAATCACATGTTCCCTCAACAAACGGATGCTGGGCACAGGTGCTGGAGACACGTGGACGACAAGCGAGGCCCTCAGTGGGGGGACACAGTGAATGTGACAACCAAGAAAGACCATGGATGGACACATGACAGAATGGGCAGAGGAGAGCGTGATGAAGAAAACAAATCGGTGGTTCCACACTGCCTCTGGGGACAAGAGGACCAGCTTCCATGGATTCTTGCCACCCGTCACCTGGGTCACAGGCCCCAACAGAGACACCCCCAGCTGCGCGTGTGTGAGCAACAGGAAGACACACAGCAAGCTAGGCATACAGGTGTGCAGCAACCAAGGACAGGCAGACCCTGGGGAAGGGAACAGGGAAGAAGGAAGGGACAAAGAGAACCAGCATGTCCGCTTGTTCCCCTGCCACCAGGGATGTCAGCTGGGATGGCAGAGGAGGAGGCAACAGAGAAGGGAAGGCAACCGCATCAGGCAGCGCTGGCTGAGGAAGAGCCGAGTGGTGGCCCAGAGAGGCTCTTTCTCCCGACCCTGGGACCAAAGGTCTGAGAAAAGGTGCTGGTTGTTTTCTTCTCTGTGTCCCCACATGGACGTCCCTCGGTGTGCAGCTGTCTCCTAAGCTACGTTTTTTGTTGTTGTTGTTGTTGTTGTTTTGGTTTTTTGTTTTTTGTTTTTGTTTTTTATGAGACGTGGTGTCCCTCTGTAGCTAGGCTGTCCTTGAACTCAGTCTCCCTGCCTGAGCAGTTCAAGTGCTGGCATTGATGGGTATGCAGCACCTCCCCTCATGGCTAGTTTCTTCTCATAAGGACACCAGTTGGAGCTTGAGAGATGGCTCAGCGGTTAAGAGCGCTGGCTGAGCGGTTAAGAGCGCTGGCTGTTCTTCAAGAGGCCCTGAGTTCAATTCCTAGCCACCACATGGTGGCTCACGACCATCTGTAATGAGATCTGGTGCCCTTTTCTGGCCTGCTGGCAAACAGAAAGGCAGAACACTATGTATACATAGTGAATAAATATTTTTCTTTTTTAAAAAATAATAAATAAATAAATAAAAAGGACACTAGTCATACTGGAGTAGGGCCAAGCCCCATAATCTAGTTTCAAATTAATCACTTCTTTTTAAAATGTGTCTCTAAACACAGTCACATTCTAAGGCCTGAGGGTTAGGATTTGTCTAACTAACTGGGCCGCTGTTGCTATGATGAAACACCATGACCAACAGTATCCTGAAAGAAAAGGGCTTATTTCACTTACATAGCCCAACCATAATCCATTATCAAAAGCAGGCAGGACAGGAACTCAAGCAGGGCAGGAACCTGATGCAGAGGCCATGGAGGGGGCTGTGCTTGCCCCTTATGACTTGCTCCGCCTGCTTTCTTTTTTTCTTTTTCTTTTTGAGATCAGGTTGGCCTCAAACTCACAGAGATCTGCCTGCCTCTGCCTCCCGAGTTCTGGGATTAAAGGCATGTGCTACCACCACCTGGCTTCAGCCTGCTTCTTATAGAATTCAGGACTACCAGCCTAGGAGTGGTCCCATTCACAATAGGCTGGGCCCTCTCACATTGTTCACTAATTTAGAAATTGCTCTACACCTCGGGCGATGGTGGTGCATGCCTTTAATCCCAGCATTTAGAAGGCAGAGACAAGTGATTCTTCATGAGTTCAAGACCAGCCTGGTCTACAAGAGTTAGTTCCAGGACAGCTAGGTCTGTTACACAGACAAACCCTGTGTTGAAAGAGAGAGAGAGAGAGAGAGAGAGAGAGAGAGAGAGAGAGAGAGGGGAAGGGAGGGAGGGAGTGATGTCAGTGTATGAATGTGAGGTTAGGAAGCAGGTCCTGTGCCCCACGGTCTCGTTTTAGGTCTCCATGACGAAGTGACTCTACTAAGCAAAGAGATTTCTCTGCACAGTCATCAGGTACTGATCTGCCAACTGCTGGGTGGCAGATGTGTCATGGCCTCTTCTTACCAATGTGGAAGAGTCAGAGAAAGGCTGAGTGACCCTTGAGTGAAGTATGCGGCTGAGGGTGATGGCACACATGAGGAAGGACTAAAAATGTTCCAGTGAGTACCAGCTGGCTTGGGAGACCCTCAGCATCCTACACAGGCATTCTACCCTGTCCACCAACTAACCCAGCCAAGCTGAAACCTGGCCTGCCACAGCAGTTCCCTGCTGCTTCCAGCAACTCCTCTCAGAAATAGAAGCTCCTCTGGGTTCCCTGGTGGCTCAGTCTTGATGAATGCCACATGGCCAAGTCCAAAGGTCCATGCCATCCTCATCATTTAAGCTCAACATCCACTCAAAACACCTCCTCAGGCTGGGGATGTGGTTCAGCGGGTAACACGCTTGCTTCATGAAACATGGGAACCTGAGTTCAAGCCCCAGAACACAAAAAGCAAAATGTGTTCATATGCACACCTGTACCCCAGCATTCTTTTAGGAACAAGAAGGAAGGTGCAGGCAAGAGAAGCCCCAGAAGCTGGCGAGTCATCTAGCCTGGAGCAGACTGAGGGACGCAAGAGACCCTGCCTCACACACAGGGTAGGAGGAAGGACATGTGCAGCTGTCTTCCGACCTCCACATGTGCACATGGTCCACACATGCCCCCATTCTCATGTGCACGCTCATACAAAAAATATAATTCAAATGAAACTTAAAAAGTACTTCCTACTCCCACGTGACATTCCTCGGGGTCCCTTCCCATATGTTGATCTCATCAGTCTTCTTTGCTAGACCCCCTCATCTTGACCAGTCCCAGCAACACCGCTGAAATCTTATTGTTCAGCCAGCACCTCTTATTTGACCTAACTCTGCCTTTGGAAAGCCCAATAGCCCAGCGCCTACACCAAGGTCACTCCTGGGATCCCCAGTCTCAGAGGTCATGGGAGCTTTCATTACATCTCATCAGAAACAGCAGTGCCCACACAACCAGGCAAAGACTGTGCTGACTGACATCCTCTTCAGCCTTGAATACTCTTCCCATTGTCCTTTTCTCCATCCAAACCACTTAACATAAGAGGCTTCCAAGCTGCTTTTTCAAGTACCAACTGGAGATATTCAAATGAGAGGCTATAACAACCACTCCACAGTACAAAGACAGCAGAGCTTGGGCAAGCCTGGAGCCTCACGTTACACGGCCTGGAGAAGCAACATGGAGGCTTCAGGTCAGTGCTACATCTACCAGGTAAAATGAAGGGGCAACCAAAACCACGTGCCCAAGAGGTCAATAACATCTGCTCTCAAAGATGGACCAGGAAGCCGGGCGGTGGTGGCGCACGCCTTTAAACCCAGCACTCGGGAGGCAGAGGCAGGCAGATCTCTGTGAGTTCGAGTCGAGATCAGCCTGGTCTACAAGAGCTAGTTCCAGGACAGGTTCCAAAACCACAGAGAAACCCTGTCTCGAAAAACCAAAAAAAAAAAAAAAAAAAAAAAAAAGATGGACCAGGGCAGACATCAGAGCTGTCAACAGCCAACCACAGTCAGTGTAGATGCAAAGTCAGAGCCCACCCTGTGATCCCGAGACTCAGCACCACCTCAAAGGATCGCTCCATGGAAAGGCATTGCCATGGGAGTGTTGGGAGCAGCAGAGGCAAAAAGCAGTGCTTGCTGCTCAGACATGAGACGATCAGATCCCAGCACCCGAGTCCAATGGCTCATAAACATCTAAACTCAGCTCTGAGAGAAAAATCTGGGTGTGGTAGTGCCCACTCGTAATCCCAGCACAGATGGGGGTGGGGTGGTAGGCTCAGGGAGATCCCTACAGTTCACTGGCCAGTTAATCTTGCCAAATCAGTGAACTCCCAAATTCAGTGAGAGACCATACCTTGATAAATAAGGTAGACAGCAGCTAAGGAAGACACCTGACATTGACCTTTGACCTCCACTCAGACGTGCATACATGGGCACATGCACCTACATACACATACACACACACACATACACAAGCATGGCCCTTGCCAGCCCAATCACCAAGTTCAAGAGCCAAAAAGAAGGTAAGTTGCTCCTACACTCAAACCCCTAAAGAGGAGGCGGGCTGACCATCTACCGCAACCTTGTGACACATCATTCAAAGCTCAGGTGCTCCCTTGGCCTCAGCTGACTGTCCGTCATCCCAGAGGCCCAGTTGAAGACATGGCAAGCAGCAGACAGGGCTGAGCATGCGCCTGCCACTCTTTCCAGTGAACCAGTACCTGTAGGAGGACACACCAGAGTGCAGTCGGAGCTCTGATTTTTTCACCAGAAAACCCGGGTATTTATAAAACCATCTTCACAGTCCAGCCATACTGTTTAAACAAAATTATTAATTAATTTATTTATTGTGGGAGTCTGTGTCTATAGGCATGCATGCCACAGCACACGTGTGGAGGTCAAAGGTCAGCTTTGGGGATCAGTCCTCTCCTTCCACCACGTAAGTCTCAGGAATCAAAGGACATCAACTCAACGACACATGTCCTTACCCAAGGATCTCAACAACTCTCCAGCTTCATTCCTGAGCCACAGAACCTTATCCTAAGACAGGGATTCTTAACCAGGCTACCATGTTCACTCTTGACTATTTGATATTCAGCCCAATGAGGAGTGTGCAACCCCTCTCCAGGGAATGGTCTGGTCCATGGTGCTAAACACCACTTCTGAACAGCTGGATTCTTTCTAACTCTGCAGCCAGGGAACTCTGGCTCCAGCATGAGGCTCCAGACAGGCAGATGCCCCGAATCCTCACTTATGAGGTCGCCCCAACTCTCCACTCATTCACTAGTTGCTCAGTCCATACCTCTGGCCTCCACCCTCTCTCCAAAACATCTGTTCACATCTGCATTCCAAATCCTAGCCAGAGCTCTTTCAGAAGTAGGCTCCACAAAGAGCACCCTGAGCCACACCCAGTCCTAACTCCAGACCCTCCTCCCCACCCACTCTGCACCCAGAAGCCCGAGGGAACTGTGCAAAACCCTACTAAGAGCATGGTATGTACAGCCCTGTTCAAAACTCCCAGTGGCCCTTGTGATGTGGAAGGAAAGCCTTTGCCTACCAGGGCTGGCCCTGTCTATCCAGCCTCGCCCCAGATCCCACCACCCTCTCTCCTTACTTCACAACCCTGCCTCAAGTTCTGTGATCTGCTCAACACAGCAGGCTCTGCCTGGCCACAGAGCCTCCGCCTCTGAGGGTGTATCTGGAACTCTGCTGGGCTGTGAGGCCCACAGAGAGGCCCCCATGGCCACTCAGCACCCCATAATCTCACCATTCCCTCCTTTACTGGCCATCACCTTGGCTGAGGATCAGACCTTCTCCATCATGCTCTATCCATCACTCCGTAGCCTGGCACTGTACACCTCCTGCAATGTGAAGCAGTGGGCTCTGCGTCAGCCCCAGTGAAAAGGTTTACGCCTACTTAGTAACACTGAGGAAAGAGCAATCAGGGTTGAACTGAGGACTCATTGCTTAAAAGCACTGGCTGCTCTTCTAGAAGACCTGGGTCAATTCCCAGCACCCACGTGGCAGCTCACAATCACCCATAAACTTCAGTTACAGGAGATCTGATGCCCTCTTCTGGCCTCCACAAGCATTGCAGGCATATAGTGCACAGACACACAAACACTCATACACATAAAATCAAATCAAATAAATCTTTAAAGGAGAAAAATAAAAGAGTGATCCGATGAATCTACATGGGTCCATCTTCTATAGGACAAGATGTCCAAACCCTTCAAAGACGTCATAAGAGGCAGAGGAGTAAAAGGGGAGGAGGGATGCTGGAAGAAGTCAAGAAAGAACAGGGATAGCATAAAATGCCCTGGAAGAAAAGGTATTTGGAGACACTGGGTCACTGGGACTATCCTTGGGCTGCTGTGAGAACCCACTGTGATGAGGAAAGACCTGTACGATCAGGACCTACGCCCAAGGTACCAGACAAACAGCGGAAAGAGAGGAGCCAGTGCAAACCTGACAGCCCATACCTCACCACATCCACAACCACCAAGACTCAGCCAGAGAGGACAGCACAGCCCACAAGATACGCTCATAATAGCCCCAAGCACAACATCCCCAGGTAAGAGCTTATCCCAAAGCTGTGTCATTCACGATTTTCTTTCAGAGATAGGCCTTTGTTATGTAGGCCAGGCTAGCCTTAAACTAGTAGTTCTCCTGCCTTAGCCTCCCAAGTGCTAGAATGACAGTCACCACCCCAGACTGAGGCATCATGAATCTCATGGAATTACCATCCCCCACCCCTAACTTTATCCTTCTCTATTCTCCTGGCCATTCTACCCCAGTGTGTGGTAAGGCCACCCACTCTGGCCGTATAATATGGCGTCTGTGTGGCCTTTATAAGCTCCAGACCCACGGCATCTGTCACTGTCTGCGCAGACAGACTACACAGTCCCTAAGGGCAGGGTAGAGAGATGTCTCCCTCAGGAATCATTGGCCTAGAACCCAGCATTCAGCAAGGTTCAAGAACCTTCGATAGAGAGGCTGCCCACCTGTCCATCTTTCCTTCCATCACTCTATCTTGAGACACATTCAATCATCCTCAGTCACAACTTGGGGACAGTAAAGCCTGGAAGCATGAGTCAGGACAATGACATGTTCCCTCACACAGGGTTGTTGGAGACCCATCCTGTGTCAAGTCATGCTAAAAATGCTCATAACTGGATGGAACAAGGGTGGCCAGAGAGATGAGATGAGGGACATGGTTCCTCTCTGAATCCTGTTTCCTTGGTCTATGGCATGAGCATCCACTAAAACCTGCTGCAGCCCCATGGCTGGGTACATACCGGCCAGCAGAGAAACCGCAAAGACAGATGGCAAAGAAACCACAACCAGGGCCACCCAGGAGGTATAAACCAAGCTTTGGGCTGTTTCCAGGGCAAGGAGGATGGTGGCACGCGGTGGGGTCCTGGCGCTCACCCAGAAGCTTCTGAAGCACCTGGCCGTCATAGAGGTCTTCCTCCAGCTGTTTCACAATGATGCGCTCCTCTGCTAGCACGTCGTTGATCCAGTCCAGGAGCACCTGGGGGAGGGGAGAGGCGTGTCAGAGCTGCCGGAGAAAGCAGAGCCACAGCAGGCTCAGATGGGCAGCTGCCCAAACATACAAGGGCTACCAGGCACCTGCCTGGTAACAATGGAGGCCAACAGGTATATCTTGGTCCATGATCAGAGCAGGAGTGGAGGCCAGACCCATGCATGGAGCTAGGACTTCCTAACAGTCCCCAATAGAGCCCTGACAGGACCAGGCAGGCTGGGATCCTGCATGGACCATCGGTAATGGGTGACACACATCTCCCAGCAGAAGGGCTCACGGCTCCACTGGTGCACTGGGTGCTAAATGAGCAAGTGCTGGGAAGAGAGGAAAAGATGGGGGCATGAAGCATCAACCCTCCTCCTAGCCTGCACTTCAGCAGTGCTGAGTTTGAGTCCTAGGCCTTCTCCTCGTGACTCTGGCCCTCTCCATCTCCTGATCCTGAGCCCTATCAATGGGATTGCACAGTAGGCAAACTCCTCCCTCACGCCCGGCTTCTCTCAGTATGGTGTTTGAAGGCCATCCCTATTATAGCTTCTCCCTCTCCCCCACTTCCCACTGAACCCCTTACCACTGCAAGCCACAAATGTATGTTCATCTTATTTGTCTGCCCCATTGCTGGACATTTGAGCACTGGGACTTTCTGCCCATCACGCTCCTGGAAACATTCACGGCCAAGTTTTTTGTTCCTATTTTCCGGACCCATATTCCCCAGACAGCTTTTCTTTTTTTTTTAATATTTATTTATTTATGTATTATGTATACAGTATTCTGTCTGCGTGTATGTCTGCAAGCCTGAAGAGGGCACCAGATCTCATTACAAATGGTTGTGAGCCACCATGTGGTTGCTGGGAATTGAACTCAGGACCTTTGGAAGAGCAGGCAATGCTCTTAACCACTAAGCCATCTCTCCAGCCCCAGACAGCTTTTCTTAACAGGTTTTTCTACTCAATGCATCGGGTGGGCACACCGTGGAAGCAATCTACCTGCAGTGCTAATTGTCTCTGGGATAGAGGGATTCTGGGAGACAGTGCTCACGCACCATCCCACCCAGAATAAAACAGATACCTGCCCGGGCTGCAGCCATGACACTCAGACTGTGACTTTCCCATGCCAGCAAAATGAATTAAGTTATCTAATTGGATCCCTAAGGCCCTGGGAGGTAGAGGTCTGTGGCAACTCTCAGAAGGATCAAAGTGAACAAATCCAAACACACAGTGTCTTGTCACTTTCTGGGGAAAGAAAAAAAAAGTGACAGAGAAATTGGTCACAAAACCAAGTCCCCTTAAGTCCTGACCAGCTTCCAAGCGACCCCGGGAGACTGATCTCAGTCTCAGATCAGGGATCTCAGAGCTTAAGAGCCACACGTGGCTAGGATGAAGAGCCACAAAGCCTGGCAACTCTGCGCATATGTCAAAGCGCCTTCTGAGGGGCGGGGGAGAGATGGCGCCCTCTCCAGCTCCCTGGTTGATTGGGCTCCAGTCGGGCCTGTGTTCTCTGGCTGCTGGGCTGTCCTCTCTGGGCAATGAAAACTATGAGGCAGGGCCTGATTGGAGGAAAGAGGTCACCGGGATCATCTCCTAGGTGCCCGCTTGTCTTCTGTCCGAGGGTCTAAGGTTTGTTCTCACACTGGGGTCTACAAACCACAGCAAGGATTTTCCACCGTGCAGAAAACAGCACAATCTCGACTTCACGAGGAATGAAAACACAGCAGTGGATTGAGCTTGCTGCGACTGCTATGCCGGCTGGACTTGTGCCAACTGGACACAGCCTGAGTCACCTGGGAAGAGGGACCTCAACTGAGAAAATGCCTCCCCTAACCTGGCCTGAGGGCAAGCCTGTGTACAGTTTCTTGACTGATGATTGTTGTGGAAGGGCCCAATTTGGGTTGTGCCACCCCGGGGGCAGGTGGTCCTGGGCGTAATAAGAGAGCACGCTGAATGCACCAGTGAGCAGCGCTCTCCATGGGCTCCACTTCCGTTCCTGCCTCCAGGTTCCTGCTTTGAGTTCCTGCCCTGGCTTCCCTGGACAATAACTACAACCTTTAAATGTCTTTCCTGCCCAGGGTGCATTTGGTCAGGGTGTTCATTATAGCAACAGAAACCCCAAAACAACGACCGGATAAGTATTCTCTGCCAGTCATCAAGAAAGGGAGGGGAAGTTTGTGCTTGTCCTGTGGTCCCACCTCCAACTGTAAAGGCCACCACTGCTGAGCCTTCACTTGTAGGGTCTCCCTTGGATAAGCACACGAGTGAGTGTCCATAGCAGGTGCCACGCAGGGCCGTGACAAGGAAGAGAGGAGGTGCAGTGCAGTCCCTGCCCACAAGGAAGGTTACCTGTCAAGGGTGTTAGCTGGGGACAATGCAGGCATGAAAGGTGTATATAGCGGACACAAAGCCAGCCCCACCCCTGTCTGCCAGAGCTTTGAGGAAGAGTCGGCCCCTCTACCTTGAGAGCCAACATGAGAAAGTTAGCTATGATCGGCCACCATCCCGACACCTCTATCACGGTGTCTCTATCCCTGGTCACTCTCCTGCATGCTTATAGGCTCTTGTCACCCTGCCCATGTTAATGGTTGCTAGAACATGCCATACCGCAGGACCTTTGTACCCGCTGTTGGGCAGTTGGCCATGACCTAGGCACCGATGCAGAGGTCTGTTCAAATGCCACCTCCCTGACTGCCCTGCAGGAAACTGCAGAAGGGGAGGGGGAGGCTTCGAGGCACCCCCTGCCACCTGATCGCATGTTCACTTAGCCCCAATCATGTCTTCTCCCAGGTACACAGTGAGCTTGGCGAGTGGGCTGTTTTGCTCAGCTCTCATCCCCAGTGGCTAAGACAGGAGCAGACTCAAGGTCTCAAACAAACTAGAGAATTGCCTTGGGGAATTCACTGCTAGAAAGGACTCTGGGCCCTACAGGCCTCCTTAGCTTCCAGAGGCTTCTTTCCTGAAATGCAAATATTCCAGGAAATCATGAGAGAACACTTCTTCTATGAGAATAGAAAACTTAAAGAAGAAAAACAAAACAAACAAAACCCCCACATCTAGATCTCTGGCCTACTCGGAGCCCGAAGGCAGGAAAAAAAGGCCAAAAGCTCAAAAATGAACTATACACAACAGGCCAGGCTCTCAGGTCCAGGAAGCAAAAATCCTCCCCAGTCTCACCCCACCCCCTACCCCGGTCAGGAGATGCAGTTGACTTGGGGACATCGCCTGTCACCCCATCATTCTGCTCCCAGTCATCCTTCTTATCTTTTAAAGATAGCATCAGCCATTATTTTTAGGGACTCGTTCATCTGCCGAGCCCCAAGTCCTGCGGGTGAATAAGGAGGGACATATATTAATTACATCCTTACATGGCACTCGATCACGGCTAGCTCTATGAGCTCGCCCCAACCAGAATAAAAAATTACTTTCCCGTTGGTTCCTTCTGAATTATAATCAGGTCTGCAGTGTGTCTCCCCCAGAGCCATGACAGTTACATTTTAATCATTTCCAAACAGAGTCCTAGCTGTGTTGTCCCTGGGGATGGAGATGCACCTTCCTGAACTGGGTGGGAGTCAGTGGGGGCTGAGCACGGCAGAGCGCCTCTACATGACCTGGGCACGAGAGGAAAAAGAACCAGCTTCATGACAAGAGTAAGCCCTGCCCAGCAACTGAACGATAAGATGTGAAATCTGCCCTTGGAGAAAGATGCCCCCAGCTTGAGGTATCTGGCTGCCCTGACCAGCGTGCTTAGGGAGGGCTGTGTGGGTTTGTTGGGTTTTAATTCCTGACTTGAACTTCCAGAATACATTATTCCAACACCGATTCCCTTAGGATCATCGTCCATTGAATGCAAACTGGAGGCTCACCAAATGCCCTCATTAGCAGTGACCCAGGTGTAACCAAGAGTGTGTGCTGCAGGGGAGATCGTACGCTCAGGCAACTGTGAGGGTTTCTGAGCTCTGTGCCAGGCCCTGGGAACGAGGATTGAATGGGACACTGAGCACAGAGGCCTCTCCCTAGAAGAAAAGCACGGGATCCTCTCTAACAGAAAGGTTAATGACACAAAGCATCTCAGCCATAAGCTTCCAACACACTGGCTACCTACAGGGACTCTGGGTTGATTGCGGCAGACACCAGAGGAAATGGCCACAGGAAGAAATCCCAGCAGGACGCCAGGGTGAGTCTTTGAGGTTCCTGAGCCCACAGAATTCAGGTCCAATTCTAAGGTGACACCCACTGGCCAGTGCATCCTCCGCACCAGACCTGGTCTCTCTCAGTGCCCATCATCAGATAACGAATGGCCGTGGGTCACGGCACTTCACTTTCCTGAGCTGGGATTGGACCTTCACCCCTTAATGGTCCAATAAGCACGACAGATGCTCAAAATAGTTTTTAATGATCAACCTCATTCCCCTTGTCTGCCCAGCCAGAGCTGGGGACTTCAGACGAAAGGCAGAGGGCGGCTCACAACATTGCAAAGATAACATTCCCAAAGTAGTAGGGGACAGAGAAGGCCAATAAGACAACAGAGGAAAAACACAGAGGACAGAGGACAGAGAGGAAGAAACGAGGCCAGCTCAGCATCCTCAGAAACTCAGCCTTGGTCCCGAAGACTAGGAGAGGCTGTGAAGGAAAGACGACCACAATGACCATGCACCGGCAGGACAGGATGTCAGCCAGTCCAAGCCGTCCTCTAACCTGCTCAGGCCAACACACCAGATAGGTTTTAAGTTTAAAAATACCTGCATCTAGGAAGGTATGGTTTAGCAAAACCCCACAAAACCTGTTTCTGGGCAACAGCCTCACAGGGGACCATTAGAAGTGGGGGTCACTGATCTGTAGCACCAACGATGTCATGACACTGAGACACAGTGGCTTTCTGAGGTTCTGGAACTATCTGTATAAAGGTATAATCACAAGCTCGCAGACTCTGCCCCTTCTCCCACAGCTCACTCCCTAGATCCTCATCCCAAGCGTGCCTCCCCCAGGTAACCATGACTGTCACCAACTGTGACCTTAAGGACAACGGCTTCCAGCGCAGTGGTTCTCAACCTTCCTAAGGCTGCGACCCTTTAATACATCTCCTCGTGTTGTGGTGACCCCAACCATAATATTATTTCAAGGCTACTTCATAACTGGAATTTGGCTACTGTTATGAATCACAGTGTAAATATCTAATATGCAGGATGTCTGATATGTAACCCCCGTGAAAAGGTTGCTCAACCCCCAAAGGGGTCACAAGCCACAGGTTGATAGCCGCTGTTCCAGTGGGTTCTGGTGTCCTTCTGGTGAATTATCAAGCCTAAGGTATGCTGGGACCCCTGAGATTGCCAGTGGGTCATAGAGGAAACTGTCTCCTCTAAAAATACACACAGAGGGTCCCTGCTCAGAGCAGCGGCAACGAAGCCACAAAGTATGTGGAGCCGAGGGATGGAGGGAGGAGGCATGGGATGATAGCGAAGGGCCTGAACAGAGCAGACCCGAGGTGCCTGGCTCTGCGGTGATCCTGGGGACGAGCCAGGCACTGAGTCCAGTCCTAGCAGCTGCTTGGAAGCTGGTCACCCCACACTCACAGCACAAGTGCGATATTCAAGCCAGCTGCTGCCAGGACAGAGAAAGGAAGCGTCCACAGTCCTCCAACACGAGCATGCTCCAACCAAATCACAGCTTTTCTCACAGCCCCGTACACCTGACCAAAAGGGCTGGTCCCCCAGAGCCATTGCACCCACCTCCTGCACTTGCCCAACAACTTGACACTTTGTACACTCCACCACACAGCCACAACCATAGCTAATGAGCCCTCTAAGACCCCAGGACCACTCCCCTGTCCATGATGTTTACTCTAGCTTTTGAAAGTGCTAGGTTAAGACCAGACTGCTGTGAGAGATCTCAGGTCTAGTCTCCACAGGAACAGCTGCAGGCCAATGGGGATAGTGGTGGGAACAGGGCGTCTCAAGGACTCAGCCACTGCTGCAGACACACAGCCACCCTGCCTGGTCCACAGGGATGGTCAGCTACAGTGGAGAAGATCTGCTTCCTGTGGCTGCTCTACAGACTTCCACAACTCCAATGGCTTCCCCTGGTTCCTCTCACATGCTGGAAGCAAGAAGCCAGAACCGGTGTAACTGAACTGAAGCCAAGTGTCCGGAGAGGTGAGCTGGCCCGCCTGGAGGCTCTTAGGACACTGCTTCCTGGCTCCTCCAGCTTCTAGAGGCTCCCACAGACCTCAGAACACAGGTTTTGCCCTTCTTCTAATCCAGTAGTGGGAGCCTGGCTTCCCCCTTCCTTGACACCTCCATCGGCGGCCTAGGCCACTCAGCCCAGTTGCAATGGTTAATCTTTCATTTGGTTGGTTGGCTGTTTTGTTTATTTGGTTCTGGTTTTTGTTTTGTTCTGTTTTTCAAGGCAGGGTTTCTCCACGTAGCCCTTGTTGTCCTGGAACTCGCTATGTAGACCAGACTGGCTTAAACTCCAAGATCCGCCTGCCTCTGCCACCCAAGTGCTGAGATTAAAGGTGTGTACTACCGCTGCCCAGCGAGATGGTTTATCCTAATTGTCCACTTGACACAATCTACACTCAACTGAGAGGAGCATTCACACTGGTCTTGTCTGTGGGGTGGGGGTGGGGGGCTGTCTTAATTAAGCTAACCAATGTGAGAGGTCCAAGCCCATGGTGGGTGGCACCAACCGCTAGACCTACGGGGTCTCAATAGGATAAAAGCGGAGAAAGCAACTGAGTACAACAGGCAAGTATGAAAGCGTGCAAACGCTCACTCTCTCTGCTCTTACTGCGGATGCGACCGGCTGCTCCAAGTTCCTGCCATCTTGACAGGCTCAGTGTTGGACTGTAACCCAGAACTGCAAGCTAGATAAACTCCTTCTCCCCTACAGAGTAAGACACTGTCTCAAAAAAAAAAAAAATCACCCTCAGTGAGATAGTGGTGGCAGTGGTGGTGCGCCTTTAATCCCAGCACTTGGGAGGCAGAGGAAGGAGGGTCTCTGAGTTCAAGGTCAGCCTGAGCTTCAGAGTGAGTTCCAAGACAGCCAGGGCTGCACAGGGAAACTGTGCCTCAAAATACCTAAATAAATAAATAAATAAATAAATCAGCCTCTTTGGGTGGCCATAATAGACATTTCCAGTTCACATTTCTAGAAGGCACAGAGGGTAAGCAGCCCTGATTCCCCTGATCTGCCCTTGTAAAAACTCAGTCGCAAGGGTCGGCATTGTGTTCCTGGCTGGGGTAAAGACAGGAAAGCCTCCAGAGAGCCATCTATTTCAGGACACTGTCACACACAGCATTTCAAAGAGCCTAGGTCACCCAAACCAAGTCTGGGTCTCCGAATGCTACCTGCCTGTCTCGGGTGGTGGCCTTCAGGAGTCTTCCTGGGGCTTAGATCTGAGCAATCAAAGTCTCAAGCTGCCCCTGGACAGGGTCAGGCACGTGCAAGAGAAGGGCAGGCGGTTGTCCCTGGAAGCCACTGAGCCACAGCCCTGCCCGCCTGTTACTGTGACCTTCGAGACCATAGCCTTCTGCTCTCCCACCTAGCTGATAGTCACACATGTTCCCCTAGGGTTCTAGTTGCATTCTGTGGCTGTGTTAAAACCTTCTGACCAAAGCAGCTGAGGAAGGGAAAGGGTTTATTGGCTTACACTTCCAGGTCAATCCATCACTGGAGATTGACAGTGGACGTCAAGGCAGACATTCATACAGGAGCCTGAAGCAGAAACCTTGGAGGAACACTACTTGCTGGGCCACTCACAGGCTTGTGCTTGGCTAGCTTCCTCATATAACCTGGGACAGCCTGCTGAGGGAATGGTGCCACCCGTAGTGGGCTGTGCCCACCTATATCAGTCAGCAATCAAGACTATCTCTCACAGACATGCCACAGGCCAAGTTTGATCCAAGCAAGACCTCAACTGAGACTCCATTTAGCGCTAACGAAGACACCAAGGGCCGTCTTCAGATGAGACCATGGTGGGGGAAGACAACAACCTGTTCCGCAGAACAGCTTGACCCATGAAGCTATAACAACCAGGCCTGTATGCAAAGTGTAGCGGTTCAAAACAGACCCTGTGTAGCTCTTGTGAGCTCTGTGTGACAGCCCCATAGGGGCCTCGGGCTGTGTTAGGAAGCACCTAGAGAACCTATGTTTCACTTCCTTCTTCAGCCCACACCCCACTCCTCTGGCCCCTTGAATGTAGTCTCTCAGGAGCCTGGAGGCTCAGCTCCTCCTTGTGTCTACAGAAGTGGGGAGTGCCCCGAAGAAGGCCCAGAGCCAACAGGGGTGTTCCAATCACATCAGACTATATACCTCACCTTGATCAGCTCCTTGAACTTGGGGTCCTCTCTGGAGGTGGGATCAATCATGGTGCGCTCCTCATTCTCCTCTGCCAAAGACAGAAAGGGCCAGAGTGAATGGAGGGGGTAGGGTAGAGCACTGACAGGGACATCAGGGGGTGGAGGACTCCCTGCTTACTCACATGGGGCAGGAACTGGTGGAAAAGCAGAGACCCATCCTGTTCTCAGTGAGAACAGGTTGCCGGCCTTGCCAGCTACACACCAAGATCAGAAATAAATCATGCAGGACAGCAGGAGGAGATGAAGCCTGGCTCCAACTCCCCAGTCTTAAACTCCAAAGGCTCCTTCAGCAAGTCTAAACCATGCTGGCACGGGGAGAGAAAAGGTGGCATCTGCCATGGCCTGGGAAGCGCCCTACCAGAATCAGAGGGTTATAGAGAGATTTACATGCTAGATCGCTGTTCACTGGTCTACCAGAGGCTGTGTGGGGCCAGCGCTGTGGAAAATGTATGGGAACAGATGGGCGGGCAGCAAATATACAAAACAATATCTACAGGGAAGCATTAAAAATAGCAAAAAGACGCAAAAGGATGACATTTACCCATCTCCCCTGTGAGTTTTCCCTCCATGTTCTGGCTTAGATCTGACAGACAGCAAGAGGCCAGTGGAGTTCATCAGGGGAGCGGGACAGGAAGGTGGGGAAGGAATGAAGACATGGGAGCCAGAAGTGAAAGGACCAGGTCCTAAATGCCTGGGTGCTGCAGACCCACTGAACTCACTGAGGGGAGCTGGGGGCGGGGAGTCCAGCTTCCCAGGCAGAGAATAGCACAAGGTACTGCTGCAACAATCAGCTGCAGCAGTGGTAACAAGCATGCCCTTCATCAGGGAGAGACATCACAGACCAGTGGTCTCGGATACCAGGCCATCTCTGGGTCACAAGCTGGGCTTCACCTGCTTCCTCCCTGAGACCCATATAGAACCTGGATAGACAGGGATCTCCCTCTGAACTGGGGTTTGGAATAAGCAGTGTTCACAGTGTCCAGGAAACGGCATTTTGTCTGCCACCTGTCATCGACCTGCAAGGAGTCAGAAGCCTCCCCATCCACAGTTCCCACACAGTCAGCCACACAGCTCTTCAGGGCAGTCATGGAGGTAAATGGGGTGTCTGGAATGTGTGCCCAGTTTCTGAATTTCTTCATGCATTGAAACATTGGGGCCCACTCATCCCAGGGAGACTGTCCTCAGGGGATGGCTGTCCCCTTGCCTCTTCCTCTAGGGACTCATGGGGTTCCACACCCTGAGCTAACACTCTCTGCCTCACTTTCCCTCATCCCCTAGGCCAGCTATCAGCTAGCTCAGTTCAGTACCTTGTGCCTGGAGCTTATACCATCCAGTCCTCTACTCAATAAAGAAGCTGGCTCCTCCTCTCTCTTTCTACCCCTGCTTGCCCAGCCCTGCTGGGCCACCCCCTGGAACTGTGACCATAACAAGCCATGGTTCCAATGCCAGTCATCAACGCCTGGATGCCAATGAAATCCACACTTCCTGCTTCTCCCTCAAGATCTGTCTGAATGAGATGTGGGTTCTCAAACACCACCCACCCATACGTGGTCCGACACCAGGGATGGACACCAGGGATGAACAACAAAGGCTGTCTAGTGGCCACAGTACCTAGTTGGGTGTCTTCAGGGTGGATGTCCATCAAAGCTGGGGCCATTGGAGAATTGATGGCGCTCTTGCCTTCCTCTTGCAAGTCAGTCACTGTTGAGGTAAAGAGAGACCCAGTCAGTATGCAGAGAGGAAAGTCCCGTGCTTCCAACACGTCACTTACATGCACATCCCTTCATGGTGGGTGGCCCAGGGAGGCCGAGAAAAGTCCTACCAGCCCAGAACACCTGCCATTTTGCTTTGCCTCAAGAAGATTATTATTATTATTATTATTATTATTATTATTATTATTATTATTGCAATATACTGCCTATAGGCCAGAAGAGGGCACCAGATCTCATTATAGGTGGTTGTGAGCCACCACGTGGGTGCTGGGAATTGAACTCAGGACCTCTGGAAGACCTCTGGAAGAGCAGTCAGTGCTCTTAACCACTGAGCCATCTCTCCAGCCCTCAAGCAGTTCTTAATTCCTTCCAAGCCTGGCCAGTCTGTCCACTGTGGAATATGTGACTGGGACATGGAAGTTTCTGGTTGACTTCTAGACCTGACCGAGGCTGGTGCGGTAGACAGCGCTCAGACCCCCGGCAAGGGCAGAAAACATACATGGAACTGCCCTTCTGTCTCCGGCAGAGCTGTCTCTGGGGTTGTAGACTCAAGGTGTGAACGGGCCTGCTTGCACACAGGGGCGATCAGAATTTAAAGTGTGCCGCCTCCTTCGGGACAGAAGTCTGATGGAGGTGCAGTGAACTCTTACATTCTGTACCTCCCTCGTATCTATTTTTAAACAGGCCAGAATCTCGGGCCAGAAACCGGCTCAGCCTGGACGTACGCCTCCTTCCTGCTGGGCACAATTCTTCTAGATCTCTACCCGGGGAACCGTTAACCTCCAAGAGGGCATCCGCATGCAGCCAGCCTAGATGGCCCCTCTCACCTCACTTCCACGTGGACTAAGCCGAGAGTCGTGACAACCAGCCCTCACTTGCGGTTACTCGGGCCTGCCGGAAAATCTGCTTGGACAATGTCCTGAACCCAGCAAGGCATGGCCCACGGCCCTCGTTCTCCTCACACGCTCCACTAACTCTGCAGGTGCACACATGTGCTCCAGGTGGGAAGTCACTAAATCTCCATTACCATCTCATCTCTCCTGGCCCCTGAAGGGACATGCTTCCCGCTAAGATCTTAAATCTCTACAGACGGTAACAGGATGGGGATCGAGGCCAGTAGGAAAAGCAACAGACTCTAAGGAAGCGAGCGAGCTTCCACACTGGCAATGTGTGGGCCCAGAAACCACAGGCTGTGCATAAGCTCGCATGCATGTAGGCTGGAGGTGGGGATAGTTACAGAGTTCAGACACTGCACACCCTAGTCCTGTGACACCCACCACACAGGTCACAGTCACAGGATGGAGGGGAAGGGGACAGATGCAAGGCTTGACTTTTTCCTGTCTACAGAAAGCTCTACCATGTCTGGAGCCCTAGAACCAGAAATGGTGGCTTCCATACCACTGAATCTCAGAATCCAGACTTCAGTCCCAAAATCCAGAGGGGACAGAGCCAGGTCCAGGCCTACACCTGCAGTTTTTTTACAGACCTGAGTGGGGAGCACCAATCACTTACTGATCACACATCCTGTCGTGGGGCATGGGGGGATCTCCAGTGACAGGTGTCCCGCCTCTCTATGCTTCCTCCTGGGAACTTCTACAGTGATACACGCCTTCTAAACTCTGCCCGGAATATCAGTCACTTCAAAGCTTTAATAACGTTTTGCATGTTGGCCACCTGGCACCCGCAACAGCAGATAAAGGGGACAACGCGATGTATGTATGATACAAGTGGCTCCAACCTTGCTGGCTGGGAGACCCCAAGCCAGTCTTGTTAATCTCTTTGATCCTGCAGCCTCAGGTGGCATTTCCTGTTTGTTCTCTTAGGTCCCCAGGCAGGCTAAAGAATACAAGTTCCCAGCTTAGAGAAAAACACACAGCGGGCTCTTGAAACGTGGCTGTGGATCCAGCTCTGGGGACAAGTCACCCTTTGCCTCCACAAGGACAGACACCAGCTCTAACATTAGCAACGATGCCGAGGTCCAGCTTTTTGAAAAAGGAGGCCCTCTAGTAAACTCGCAAACTCATGTTCAAGGCCATGTCATTCATAACAGCCAAAAGGTGGAAATAGCACAGATGTTCTTAGATTCAAAAGGAGAGAGAGAGGAGGAGGAGGAACAGGAGGAGGAGGAAGAAGAGGAGGAGGAGGAGAAGGAGAGGAAGAGGGAGGAGGAGGAGGAGGAGGAGGAGGAGGAGGAGGAGGAGGAGGAGAAGAATAAGAAGAAGAAGAAGAAGAAGAAGAAGAAGAAGAAGAAGAAGAAGAAGAAGAAGAAGAAGAAAGTGTGATGACCTCACCCATTGGTGAGACCTAAATATGACTCAGTCACACACGGAAAGGCTCTTAACCATGAGCCATCCCCCAGCCCCCACAAACCATTTCCTAATTCCCCCAGTCCTCACCATGATTCCGTGAGGGAAGCAGACAACTGTAAAACCCTTCACAAATCAGTGACCACCACGGGCGTGGACTCCCTTTGTGTCATCTCCCAAAGACACACAGAGATCCATTCTTGGGCACCAGGCTCATTTAGAAAACGGACCTAATCCCAGCAAATATTTGCACTGTTTAGTGAAATGGAGAGAGTCAGAAATAGGATGAAAAGAAACTTTCAAGGGAAATTCACTGGCAGCCCAGTGACCAGGGTTTCCCAAATCCCATCCGGCTAACACTTCAGAGAAAAGCACAGAGGGTCCGCTACACCAAGGCTCTGCGCAGTGGTCAGGGTGACAGTCAAAGCAGAATAAAAGACAGTTTCGGGGAGAATGAGGTCATCCAGGGAGGCTCCAGCGAGCCACACAGGAGAATCACACCAAGGCGCGAACATTCCTCTCAGAAAGATATCATGGCACGGGACTGGAGAGATAGCTCAGTGGGTAAAGTGCAGAGACAGCATGAAGGCCCAAGACCAATCTCCAAAGTGCACAAAAGGCACAGTAGCCTCTGTAATCCCAGTGCTGGGGAGGCAGAGACAGGTGGGCTCCCTGGAGCTCGCTGCTAGCTAGCCTAATCCATCAGCCTCAGACCCAGCGAGAGACCCCGTCTCAAAGAGCAAGGTGGACTGTTCTTGAGACACAACATGAAGGGGGACCTCCAACCTCCGTGTATACCTGCACATGCGTGAGCACATAACCACAAATAAAACTTAAAGTGACAATAATAACAGCCAAGTCCCTAGAGCCACTACACGCATCAGCCCCCTCCCTAGACATGGGGCATGAAGCCCAGGGCCTGGGGAAGAGAGACTAAGATTGTGACCCTGATTCCAAAATCTCAGAGCTGGGGGGTGGGGGAGGGGGCACAGGGAATGCCATTATCAAAGCCCAGAAACTAGGTCACATAAAACAGAAATTTCCACACCACCCTCAAACATCAAAAACAACACCAAACAGGGCCAGGGACTGGGTGACCTTTATAAACAAGATGCACACACGCACGCACAGCCTGCCAGACTGTGATCCACACGCTCTCCTGGGATGGTCCTTCCTGTTCAAGGCCTTGGGGAAACACTCAAAGCCCAGGGAGAGTGCTGTGATCTTGGCCAAACCTGCCAAGTCCCAGCTCAGACCTCACTCTGCCACAGACTTGTGGTGTCAGGAAAGCCCCCTGCACCTCCTCAGGCCTCACTTTCCCACTGTAGCACAGGGTGGGAAGAGTCCCTGCTTCAGAGGTGTTGAGAAGAGTGGAGAGGCCTAGGGCACTCGGCACCTGGCTCGGGTTGCATACTTAGCCATAAGCTGGAGGGTTAGCTGTGACTGAGGGTGGTACCTGAGGAGGCTCAGGAAAGTCACCACCATGGAAGAGCAAGGAGGAGGTACAGGTCCTTCATGCCAGGAGAATCACGAGAGACTCCCTGAAGGAGGCATCCAGTGAACCAGTCTTGAAAGAAGGCCAAACTCAGGAACAGCTTTGGGAACCAGAGAGTAGAGGGTGGTGGGTGGAGCCCAGCTCAAGGGCCTACAGACGCCAACATTGCCCAGCCTGAATCTTCCAGTGTTCACACTCTGTGTTGAGTAGTTTCCAGTGTTAACCCAATGGGCAGCCTCAGAGGACCATCTAGTCTTCAGAGGATGGTTTTTGGAGAGCCTGTGTCTTCCACTCCACCAGTAGCCCACCAGCCTACTGGGTTTTAGTGAATCCCAGAAATACTGAGATTTTTAAAGTTATGGTCCAGTTGCCAAGAGGACGCACACTTCAAAGATGTGAAATGCTGCTGGCTGGGCACCAGCTGTGCCCAGTTCCAGACCTGGGGTGGGTTTGTGAGGACACTGAGTCATAGGAGCCTGCTGGCCTGGCTCTCCCAAGCATCCTCACTGTTCTGAGCTGAGTCCACACAGCAACCGGGCAACCGGACATGAAGAATGGGTATCAACATGCTCCTTCTGGCCAGGAGCCCTCTTGCTGCCCTGAATCTCCAGGTTTGTAGAAAGCTGGTTGTACAGAGATACCAGCTGAGGACTAAGAGGAGGAAGCCAGGAAAAGAGGGATATGGAGGCCAGAGAGGAATGGCGTTGGAGGCCAAGGAAGGAGTGATGGAGTTCAGGGGTGAGGAGGCAGGCAGAGAAGAGAGCCAGAGTGACTGAGGTGAGCCTCTTGTCTCCTCACTCCCTCTCCAGAGTCTAGGGAAGGCTTAAAAGGCAAAAAGTTAGATGCAGGAATGTACACCTTTAATCCTGGCGTGGGGGAAGCAAGTGGAGGCAGGAGGGCCAGCTCAAGGTCATTCACAGCTCACAGTGAGTTGGAGGCCAGCCTGGGCTACACGAGATTCGGTATCAAGGTTTTTTTAATTAAAACTTAAAATATAAAACAATCTGGGGGGGGGGGAGCCACCTCTCTTGACTTACACAGTCTCAGAGGGAAGAAATGGCTCTTGAAGGCCCCACCCTCCCCAACCTCCAAGCCCCAAACTCTGCCATCAGCAAGCGCCTCTTAAGAGTCAGCTCAGGCCAAGCCTACAGCTTTGATTTTATTTTTTTATCCTTTTCTTTGCGTGAC